GAGTCGTTATGGGTAAAACTCTAAAAGTTTGCTTGAGCCTGCGATCCATTCCGAACATCTGCGAACCGTCAAGATCCATATACCCCGCACGCCCTCTGGGTGCGGAAACTTCATGCGTGAGGTTCTTTCCCCTGTCCGAGAAAAAAAATACTCCCAGACACTGAATATGAAATAGTTTTCTATAAAAAAAAACAGACTCTGACGGGAAATTGAATCTGAACTTCATAGTATAAGTATAGGATACTGTGACTGAACTCCTGCTGACTGAACCGATTTTGATGTTTTTTTTTATGTTTGTGTGTGTGTGTGTTTAAGTGGATTCCAGAATGGCTTAGATTCGGTATTCGATCCAGTATAAAATGTTTTATTTATTTATTTATTTCCAATATGAAAACGTTTGAAATTTCGGATTTAAGACGGTGCGTGTATGGTCCGCTAGTATATTATATAATATTTAATCATTCGGAATTCGAGCTCAAACGAAATCGGTTTTTGAACGATACTATATATTTATTGTGTATGACGTAACGTTTATCACTGTGTTGATAACGAAAGTGTTTTGTCATTGGATATAAACAACTAGCGGACCCGGCGAACTTTGTTCCGCCACACGGTTTGTTTCAAACACATCAATCAACCAGTCAACTTCAAAATTCTACTATAATTTTTTTAAGAGATTTTATGACTTGGTAACTAAGACCTTTAAGTCATGTCTTATTTTAATTTATATTCTTAATTTTATGAAAAATGATAATATGGAGTGAAATGAAATGAAGATGATTGATTTGAGACATTAATCAACTGGGATGAAATTTAATGAGATGATATGGGATGAAATATAATCGCAGTAAAATGGTGGTCATTTACTGAGATTTTTTCAGTGGACTGTAACTAACACAACTTTCTTTTATATATATAGATATTGTTTGATATGTTGCGTAGACCGCAGGGGACAAAATAATTTACAGTCTTAGTTTAGTAGAAACCTTCTAAATATTACACTCTCAAGCTATGATTATCTATATGGTTATCAGAATGTAAATTTATTATTTACTTAAAACTCTATAGTTTTAAAAAAGAATTTTTCTTCATTGTCATTCAGTGAAGTCTAAAAGAAAGTGCAGTATCAATTTTAAAAGAGATTAAGGGTTTTAAATGTTTTTTTTTACATATAACAGAAAACGCAATTAAGTCTTTTATTGTTTATTCATTCTGAAATAATCCATATCATTTATAAGAATACATACGACATAGTTGCATCTACACCGAGATATCATATATAGCTTAAATAGTCAGCGACTCTGACCCTTGTTAGATCCGCGGTCCTGTTTAATTTTAGTTTAATTGACCACTAGACCAACAAGAACATGTATAATTTTAGGATCCGAAAATTCAATATTGTGTCCCGCTCCCAGTCCTACCCTACCCTTCGGGGTTAGGAGGGGCTGCTATTAAACCCGCGTAAGCTGAACTATGGTGGTGGATCACGGCGGCGTCGGGAAACCAGTACTTAGTTAGTTCCGTCTTAGGTTAAATAGTTTATTGTCATAACTTGTTTTTATATTTTTAAACTGTATTAGTACAGTGACTAATTACTTAAAATAATTCGAGATGATTTCGAACAATTAAAAAAAAAAACAATACGATCGAGACGTTATTCAGTGATCCTATGAATGAATAATATTTATAATAATAGATGACGAAAATACCATTATTGCGTTAAGAAATCTGCCAAAAGTATTACATAAATTGAACCCGCAAATTATCGTAATCGCCTCTTGACGTCAAAACGATTATTTGGTAAAGGACTAGTTTATACTCGCAACTTTGGAATGAGAACTCTAATATTATTTAATATATCATCATCATCATCATCATCATCAACAGCCCACAGTCGTCCGCTGCTGGACATAGACCTCTCCCAATTCACTGAGGCCGGTCTATGGCTCTCCTCATCCACTTCTTGCCCGCCATCGTTCGGAGGTCATCGCACCACCTAGCCAGGGGGCGTCCCACGTTACGTCTTCCGCTGCGCGGTCTTCACTCGAAAACCCGTCTGCTCCAGCGATCGTCAGTCCTACGGCATATATGGCCAGCCCATTGCCACTTAATATATAATGTAACTTAAAGTAGTTAATGGAAGTGTGTGTTAAAAATTATCCTGATTTATTAATGACGATATTAATAATTGAATGATAAGATAATTAGGAGGAATTGTTTTCTCAGATTCTCAACCGTGCAAGGGTACATACGTCAGATTGGAAGAAGATGGATGGATTTGCCATGTTGTCCATATCAGCACTCCTTGTCGAACTGGTTGTAGAAGAACTATTATTTTACCTAAATAAAATTTTCTCCTTTGGTTTTAGTGAAAATCGTTTTAAAGAAAAAGAAATATTTAACACGTATTTTGTAAACCCCCATACAGTATCAATTTTCAATTTTTCGGCCAAAGAAGCAACTATTTCATGAATTTAAACTTTCTCTAATTTTCCATTTTTTTGTATTCAGGCATGTTCAGAATAAGAAATGCTTCATCACAATCAAGTCAATCATTCATTTATTGACAATATTATATAATATTCATTTATATTTTTCATTTTACGAATTTGATAACGCCAACGCGGATGACAATTTAAATAGGAACTTTTTTAAAAAGCTCAGAAATCGTACTTCCTTTGTCTTTAATAATATTCTAATATCCAGTTAGTTTTCCTTTATTATTGTATTATATACTGGTTAAATAAAATTGCCGAATTTTAACACGCATTACTGGAAAAATAGCAAACAACTTAGAATTTGAATTTCGAACCAGTGATACGAATGAGATTGGGGGTAGTTTTTAATGTATAACTCCGAATTTAGCAGTGTTTACGAATATATAGTTATAGGACCACGTGCCTGTTGTCATGACAACAAATTTACTGTACTTATAATTACGGTAACATTAAGGTTATGAGAATTAAATCAAATAACTCGCTTTTGTCCCCAAATTTGAAAACGACCCAATTAAATAAGATTGTGTCACAGAGGACCAACACGGTCGTGATACTCGTAAATATTAGATGTACGAGGTTGAGAACTAATATTATGTTCGCCATCTCTGGATTGTATCACCCTGTTGATGTATATTTAAATTTTCTATAAATCAATTTTTTTTTACTTTACCGTATAGGTACAAGACATTTTGGTGAGCGAGATAAAGAAGGCTTATTTATTTTTGACATTAATGTAATATTGCTGCGTCGATAGTTGGACTTTATAGTTTCGCCCAAATCGCGATTGTTGCTACGATATGAATTTGTTTATATTCTGTCTTTAGATTAAGACCGACAGTGAGATTTACAAGCAACCACATCCTTATTCTATATTCAACTGTGTCGGGATGGCAGAGCAAGGTAATGCTTAGCATTCGCGAAGATTGTTTTTTGAAGTGAAACTTCTAATGCGACTTCCAACAAGGTTGCGTTAAACGTTTAACGCTACCATGAAATAGAAAGAAACAGAGCGAGAATAAATGCGTGGCACTCGAACGCATGTGCTTAGTATACCTGTTACAGGTCAGCGCTAGCAACGAGTAGCGTCTAATATTTTAATGAAGTATTTAAAATATATATAATATAAATGTTGTAGATGTCTCATCTCATACACAACATTCCCTATTACAAGAGCAATTTGATTTAGGGATGAAAAATGAAGAAAACCACAATACTATATATCGAAAAAGAAGCTTCACTTCATTCACGTGCACCAAGTTGCACGCGCACCGTTTTCTATACTAATATTATAAAGAGGAAAGATTTGTTTGTTTCGAATAGGCTCCGAAACTACTGGACCGATTTGAAAAATTCTTTTTCCATTAGAAGCCGACATTGTCCCTGATGAACATAGGCTACTTTTTTTATTATTTTTTTTTTATTATTTTTTTGTTTCATTTGTGTTTTAATGTTTCCGAAGCGAAGCGAGGGCGGGTCGCTAGTTTATAATATAATGAGAGCGTCGAACTTACTTCTAACTTTTTACTATAAGTGTACTTTATAGTGAAATATAAAGCTAGCAGTTGGTAAACAATAGATTGAAAGACAAATAGAAATGTATTTTAGTGTTAAAAACATTGATTTGAGACACAATATGTAGTATTTGCTTTGATAATAAAAAAAAATCCTTTTACATTAATCCCACTGTCTTAGAATTATAGGACACCTCCTCCTGAAGATTTGAAACAAAATCAAATAAATGGTGCTGTATACTTTAATCAGATTGCGCAGTGACATTTCAATAATCGTATTATTTGTTTGTATGTAACACGCAACATTTTTTTTAGTATTTGATCAGTATCAAAACCCCCACATTCACTCTTCGCCGGACATAGACCTCTCCCAATATCCACCACTTCCAAAAGACTGGTAGCAAGAGTAGATCCAGCTCTGAAGATACTCAGCATTCTCTAAATCTTTTTTTTTTTTTCGATAATTTGAAGTTCTGAGGAATATTCGTTACTTCGTGGTGAGCATATGCCAGATTCATAACAGCAAAACCCCTAGTTCTTTTGCGTTTTTTTTTTATGATTGAAACATTACTGGTGACCCGAATGCCTTTCCAACTTCACCAGGACAGGTGGGCGAGCAAATGCTCAGCCAGGAGGGGTGGGATTTGCTAACAACTGCCCGAGCGCTTCCGAAGGAGACCTAACAACTCAAGAGCAATTGCTTCGCGAATGAATCTACTACCGATGATTCTACTACCGTTCTCTTGCGTGGTTTGGAGAGTGGTTAAATTTCGCTATTCGTGCCATACAAAAGAGTTTAGTAAATTTCAAACGAGGACTTCATCTGAACAAATTCATTACTGCCATGTGCACTTGGAGATTTTGAAATTTCAGCTAATAAGATTAACGCTTAGATACAAGATGGTTGCCGTGACGATATGTTAATCTTTCACAACTGCTCCCAATAATTATTTGCTCGATTGATATTAAGTTATTGGAAACTTCATTGCAGAACAATAAACATGTCGAAACCTTGGACGACGGTCAGCTTCGAGCGCTCCTCGATGAAGCCATCACGTACAAATGTCCCAAAGATCGTGAGGGCAAAAGCAGTCTTTTCAAGGTCAGTTCCCGATTTTGCTATCCGGCAATTGCCGAAACTTTGTTGTTTCTCAGAAGGTTTCTTACTGTTTCTTTATGCTGCAAAATATTTCAGACAATCTCGAAATTGAAGAGGGTAAATAATTCTATCTAAATATTCTAAAACCTTAACAAAAGATATCCAAAAAAAAATCCCATGGTCGTCAGGCCTTAATAAAGGGTCTCCCAGGACTATTGGAAACGCAAAGCCATACTTATAAGCGTTGAAATATATACATAGATATCTGATAAAAAGCAAACAAATCTGTTCGCCCCACGAACGTTAGTTCAATGTGGGAATTAAACACAGTGTTTTTTTTAAATATATCTCTTAAACAAGGGCGCAAGAGTATGGTATAAGTTATATTTGAGCAGGTGTTGCTTTATGTAGGAATAGTACAAAATGGTGAAAAAAAAGAGTAAGGGCTTTATTATTGATCTTAACACCCACATAGCACTGCCCCAATCGTACAAATATTTAAGTGTTCCTCGATCATAATTTTTCATATTATCGATTAAAAGCGATAGATTTGTATTTGGTACTATGCGGAAGAGGGAAAATATTGTTTTGTGTATCACTTGTGTTTATTATTATTAGGAGACAATAACAAAATACAGGAAACTGAAAGGATCTCTCAAATGTCATACGAGAAATTGTATAACAAACAGATTTAACAGAAGTAAATGGCGATAATACGCTTGTAAAAATGAAAAGAGCAAGAAAATGTTTATGCACGAATTCTGATCATCGAAAATAATTTGCAGACCTCAAATAAGTGCTTCAAATGGATAGGATTGGAAATGGATAGGAAGAAATAACACTACGCCAATTCATTTGAAATTAATGATTAATATACTAGTATCAAGTTGCGAATAGCATATTTGAATGTGGTACAGGAACTTCTTGAGGAAGTGGAACAAGACGAGCAAGCATGTGAGGCGGCGGCGCGGTGCACGGGAGGAGGACGCGGGTCAAGACGAGGGGCGAGGGCGCGGCCACCCCTCCCTCATTCCAACTCACTCCAGGACCTCGTGGCCGCCCTGGCCGCCGAGCCCACGTCCCGGCGACACCACGCCCGACACGCGGCCCACGTGCCCGCCACCGCCTCCGTCTCCGCTCGGGCCATACACGGAGGCAGCCTCCCATCCGGAGTTGATACCTGTTAGTAAACGCTATGCAATTTGTTCCGCTTCACGCTGCGCTCGATTAAACGTTCACATTTACGTCTTCACAACCCAGCATCACTCCTGTGCGAGGAACCGGCCCGGGGCGCGGGTTATTTGGCCACTGTGCGGTGTGTGAATCCGCCGCCGCTCGCCGAACGCCGAGTGTCCGCCAGTGACGCCAACTCGCCCCACGAAATGGAATCGCTCAACAGGTAAGTTCTACACCACACACACAAGAAATATAATAAAAGCATATGTCAATAGTAATTAAAATATTATACGTTAAGTTGTAAACGTCGCTTGCATTAATCACCTACGGTATCGCGATAGTGTATGATCACTTCAATTGTTTTCGTTGTAAAGCGTGACGCAGATTAAAAAGTCGGGTATCGTTCGCGGTGACCTCTAGTGAAACCGAGCGGCATTGTTCGCAGACGGAGCAAGCCGATGTTCCCGATGACGTATACGGCGCGCGCTACGCTGGAGATCGGCAGCGGCAGCGTGAGCTCGGGCCGCGCGGTCACCACCACCACCGCCTCGAACCAGGTGCGTAAGTCGCCCCCCACACTAACGCGCCCAACAAACTTACGCAAACACCAAAACGGAGCTCTCCCTCGCCGTCAGGTGGGTCTCGGCGGGGCGCGGGCCGGCACTCCGCCCGATGAGCCCGGCCGCAACATGCGGAGACCTTACCGCGATGCAGCAGGGGGGGCCGGACCGCGCGGCCCGGACTCCAGCTCCGCCGACTGGCTGCGTTGGGTGGACTCGTGGTACGAAGGCTTGGCCGCCTACGCCGCTTCACATGAGATGGTCGGCCGGCCGCAGAGACGTAACTCCTCCCATGAAATCCACGACGACAAAGAAAGCAAAATTAAATACAATAGTTTTTTAAAATTTCACTCGTCACAAGATTTTCAAAGTTATGATGGAGGACAAAGTTCTAAAGCTACACCCGATGAGTGTGATCAAGTCCCTCGGGCAAAAACAACAAATATAAATTGTGATTGTTTCTGTGAAAATATCAAGGACGCTAATTCAAAAAGTGTTACTAGGTTTAAAAATGGATGTAGAGAACGCTTAGGAAAAGATTTAGTTATGCCGAACTTGTCGGCAATAAATCCACGCAATGTTAGAGTTATGACTATAAGTGCGCCTTCCGCTGTGGAAAATGTAAAAAGTAATGAGAATGAGAAGTCTTGTAACTCTTATAAAAAATCTTCTCACAAAATAATAGAAGTAAAAGATAACAATGAGAGTACTTTAGAAAAGGAAATAGACAAAACAATTACGTTTACCTCAAAAGATTCTAAAAGCTTAACAATATCTGGAACCACGGATGATATTCCTTCGAAGAATGAAATAAATTCTCTCGATAAAACTCTTTCTTGTACTAAAATAAACGTTTATTCTAAAGATTCTAGAAAACAAGAAGACGTATGTGATGAAAGCCTTAGTGATCAATGTATGAATACTACAGAAACACATGATATAAAGCAATCGACGAATTTACATTGCTCTATCTCCAAAGATAATATTAGTGCAGTAGAAAAAGCACCACCAAAGAATAGTTATGAGAATATTTCGAAAAACAAAACATGCTCTCTAGATAAAGAAGAATTTGAAAAAATATATAATGAAAATAACTTAGTTAGTTTGCTTGGTGATGAAATTAAGTCACCTTCCATAAAATCTTCTAGTCTAGCAGAAGTTCCTAAAGAAATTTCTCAAGAACGTACAGAGGTCATTCAAACTGTAGATGTAGATTTAACTGTAGATGTAAAACAATCTACAGATGATTATTGTGATAAAGAAGGATCTGAATTAGCTTTAGTGAACTACGATAACTATTTAACACCAAACGAGGTTTGTTATGAAATTTTAGAGGTAATAGATTGTAAGACCGTGGATATTGTTACGGAAAATGGAATAGAAATGGTGGTTATACCATCTAATGTGAATTTAGATGATGAATACTTGAAATCGAATTTCACTCAGTATATGGACAATCAACAAAAACTTATGGACGCGCTGAAGGCTGAGAGTAATATTGTAAAAGAGGCTAACGCGTCCACATCAGTCGTGGAAGACATCAACAAAGACATTCCAGAACATTCCGTTATAACCGACGCTGAGTGTAAAGAAAAAACTGTACAAGAGATTAAAATAGATCTCACCATAAATAAGTGTACTGAAATAGCTTNTCAGTATATGGACAATCAACAAAAACTTATGGACGCGCTGAAGGCTGAGAGTAATATTGTAAAAGAGGCTAACGCGTCCACATCAGTCGTGGAAGACATCAACAAAGACATTCCAGAACATTCCGTTATAACCGACGCTGAGTGTAAAGAAAAAACTGTACAAGAGATTAAAATAGATCTCACCATAAATAAGTGTACTAAAATAGCTTGTATAGAAAAAGTTTCGAACAATAATAACGACGATGAGATCGATAATAAAGAATTAGCAATAATCCAAAATAGAAATTCAGATAGAAAGCCAGTTGAAAAGTTTACAATAACTGACTTCCCTTACAATGCTTATATATTTCTAACACAACCCACGTTGCTAGCTTCGCTCAATAACAATAATGAAAAGCTACAAATACAAGACATAATAAAGAGTACTAACATCAAACCGTACGTCTCGGAAAACGCAGCAACGAAAGCGAATAAGAAAAAGAAAGAAAAGCCACGGCCCGGTAACGTTAATTTGAAAAAAGATGCTTTAATACACAAAAACGCACTAAAAGTTTTGTTGTTTGAAGATCTTTCTCATGACGATGATAGGAATGACGAAACCGAGTCAGGGAAATACGGGCAAGCTACTGATAACGATAAAGAGGTAGGACTGCCGAATAGCAAATGAAGTTTGAAATAGTTTGTGCCCTCGAAGGATAAGTTTCTGACGATGCTTGTGTTTTCGCAGGTCGATTCCGCTATACCGTTCAGTTGCATCACAACGCCGGAGGTTGTGAGCGGCTGCAACACGACCCCATCCGCCTCGCAGTCGGCGGCGGCCGCCGATCCAAAGGTGACTCGTACTCTTAAATATATCCATGACGCCATGCATACTTTTTTTAAGGGATTTTATGACCCGGTAACTAGGACCTTTGGGTCAAGTCTTATTTTAATTTGTATTCTTATTTTTATGAAAAATGATACTATGAAGTGAAATTAAATGAAATGAGATGAGATGATATGGGATAAAATATAATTACAGTAAAATGGTGGTGATTTACTGAAACTTTTCAGTGGACTTTTTGTAGGATTCAGTGAAGTTAAGTCCGGCGGCTTTATTTTCCTACATTTGTGCACTTTTACAGATACTAAACAGTCAATAAACCACTGTTATTACACCACTGTTATTACACATTTAAACCTGAAGAAATACTAAATAGACAAAATAAAACAAATCACACAACTTCACTCCTCGCGTTCCCGCCAAAAAGTCCCATACATACTATTTGCAGCTTTTTAAAACTACCCTTCAAATACGCTTTGGTAAATAAACAATTACATAGTTTGTGGCTTCAGTCATTGTAGTAGATGGATATTAATTTTATTGTGTCGCATCGCAAAACGTTTATTTTTATTTTATATTTTATTTGAAAACTTACAATGTGTTTCTTTGGTAACTAACTAACTATCTATCTACCATTCTATATCAATATTTTAGAAATGTAAAAGTTGTTTGTTTGTTTTGGATAATCACTGGAAGAACTGGACCTATTTATATTCAATAATTATACAGCCATACTATACCTGGGTACAACAAGTCGTGGTTAATTTTAACAAACAATATTTTAATTCTGAAAATTTTTATTACCTTGATATTTTCTATGTTACTAATAATTATTTAAATTAAATTCTAAATCAATTATCTAAATGCCTTTAGATGATATTCAGAACAGTTAGAATGATTTTAAATATTTTTTTAAGATACATATCTCTAGAATATAGCGTGCTATGTTATAAGAGAAGATTTACACATATGAATGTGGTATCAAGTGGATCTTTTTCTTGTTGTCCTTATCCACTAATTTTTGGGGTCGGTGCAGCATGTAGTCTCATAATGCTGCATAGGGATTTGACATGAGTTTTACGAACATGAGAATAAATTTATAAATTAAACATTTAAAATTATTTGATATTAAATAATTAAAATTGTTTTCAACGTATGGAACTTATTTATGTGACCAGCTCGGAGATGAGTTGTACAACAACTTTTTTTTTTTAATGATAAAACAGATCTCTATTTGTGTTTCTGTCTCATTGTGCTGCATCTATGAAACGTTTTATGAAGTAATACAAACCAGAGAACACTTGAATCGCATTTCCAATTAAAAAATATGTTTAATATATCTTAATTATATATTATGTACTTATGTATATTTCATTACGCCGTTTGATGTTGTAGAATTAGTTTTTTTTTTTGTTTGCAGCATTCTTAGTGTACTTGTTACCTATATGTAGTATTTAATATTTTGTTTGCAAACAGCCTCGCGGCGTGATATCGAGCGCGTTCAACGGGCTGCCATTGTCGCGCCCCAACTACGGCTCGACCGCGTCGACCGCTAGCGATGAACACAAGGTCTCACGCACTCCGCGCGCTGCCGCCGCTTCCCTTGCTAATTCATTACATCTTTCGCAATCAAACTACCCCCGTTATTACTAAAATCGCACACGTCAACATTTCCAACTATCCATTAATTCACATTCGCAGCTAATTATTAGCCAAACTAACACATAAATTGGCGCGGCATCGGCGTGTATTAAATTAAATAAATAAAAAGGCACATTCGGCTACCGATTTTAATTGTGCTGTATCGTTTACAGAAGTCTTTAGACGAGAATGGGAATGCGGTGCAGGCGTTTAGTTCGCCTCTAGCGGGCTCCGGGCAACACAAGAAGCCGAGGAGGAAAAAGTCGTCGAAAAATGAAACCGTAATCGATTGTAGGCAGATCGACGGGTACCAGGGCGACAAGGACGTCAACGAACTCCTGCGCTTCATCGAGTCCGACGCCGAGAGCGCCCGGCCCAAGCTCGGCCGCGCCAAGCACCGCGACGACAACGACGACAAGGCGGCCAAGAAACGGTCAACCGAACGCCGCAAGGACAAAGACCACAAGGCCAAGCGCGCTTCCTCGCTCGAGGAACTCTCTCGCACCACGCTCGAGGAACTCACCGGGCCCCGCGCCGACCCCGCGCCCAAGCCCGAGCGGCGCTCCTGGGGCGAGACGCGCGACGACCCCGACCCCGACCCCGTGCCCGTCGGCGAGCTCACCGACTTCCAGACCGTCACCAAGCGACGCAAGCCGCGGCGCCGCCTCGACGAGCAGCCGCGTCGCCGCCACGAGCCCCCGGCGCCCCCCTCCGACCACACCGGCCCCAACGACTCGGGTGATGAGCTAGAGTCTGCACACTCGCCGCCACCCGCCGCGCCGCCCGCCCCTCCCCCCGCATCCTACGCGGACATCGCGCGCACCCGGCACAACATCCCCGACCTCATAGAGTCCTGCAACTACTACGCGGAGGGCGAGGAGGAGGGTGAGCGCGTCGCGGAGCCGCCCACCCTGCCCGCCGACATCAAACCGGGAACCGGCGGCGTCCGCCCCCGCCGTGACGGAAAGGCGGCGAACGCAAAGCGCGGCAAGGATCGGTCGCCGCCCGCGCCCGACGTGGTGGCCGACCGGCGGCCCGCCGTCATCCTGCTGGACGCGGGCGCGCGGCCGCCCGACATGGACGGCGTGACGTTCGGGTTCGACGTGAACGAGCAGCTGGTGGGCGGCGGCGGGCGGCGCGTGGACCTGCTGCCGGGCGCGGCGGGGGCGGCGCGCGGGGCGGGGGGCGTGGCGGTGCGGGCGGGCGCGCTGCTCGTGCGCTACGTGCCGCCGCCGCCGCCCGCCGACACGCACCACCTGCTGCAGATCGTCGACTACGTCGGCAACGGTGCGTGCATCGCTTTCACTTATTTACATACATTTAAAATATACGTGTAATTAATGTTTTTAGCAAATGTAGTTTCACATTATTTTCATAAACGACAAATAATTTAAGAAGTTATCTTAATTAATTCGTAGTAATATTGCAAATACTGGATTTGTTGTATTCTAAAATTTTGAGACTAAATTTTACTATCCTTTGAATAATGGAGGTACTAATAAAATTTGAAAAAAAAAAAAAATCTAGTCGTGTGACATCAGACGCTCCAAAACAGGGGTTCCCAAACTTATTTTGTCTACTGCCCACTTTGAGAAGAAATTCATTTTTAGCGCCCCATTTTTCATCTACTGATAAACCACTATAGCGAGAGCTCAGTTGGTGTCTAAGAGTCCTTCCAAATGAAATTACAAATCGCCTCCCAGAGGCTTGGGAGACAAAGCCCCCATTTTTTTCTGAGTATCTTACCGCCCCCCTTTAGGCCTGCAGCGCCCACAAAGGGACGTTATCACCCACTTTGGGAAAGGCTATTCTAAAATATATGTATTACTTCTTTGAAAAACAGTAAAATTCTTGTAGATCAGTGTTTTATTTAGGGTCGCTATATAAGAGAGTAATTTTGTGGTGTATCTCTGTATTGACTAATGACGTTTGTTGTTCGCAGCCTGGGAGGAGGTGGTCCGGTGCGGCGGCGGCAAGGTGCGCTACTACAGCGAGTAGGGCGGGCGGCGTCCGGACACAAAACGAACTGTGGGGTCGCTCCTTGTCGTAACAAGGAAGCCTAGTGCCCCGGGGTGGACAGGACTAAAGTGTTATGTTGCGAGTGCCGCGAATTGCCGCGAACTGCCGCACGAAACGATCGAGCGCCTCGCGTTCTGCTGAACGTTAAACGTGTAAGAGAGACTTTGAGATTACTATTTTTGCACTGGTGTAGTGTGTGCCGCCGCGGCCGGCCCCCCAACTAATCGCGAACTTTTGATGTCGGTCCTAGGACCGACTGCTCGAGTTTATTTTGTTATGTATTTTTTAAGTTACACCTATTTTAATGTAAATAAATCGGAGATCTTTTGATATGTTGCCGGGACACCAGCGCGTGGACTGTCCCTTTACGCTCGACCGGTCAATTAGTGTACTAATTCTATTTATGAAGAAATACCGACACAAAAAATTCACCTATGATGAAGACGTTTGTCTTCTGAATTCATCAATATTCGGACATCACAAAATTGAGCGTATTAAAAAAAAACGGAAATTGCAGTATATTATGTACTTCTTAATCAAACATTTTTTTAATGAATTGTGGTGTGAGTGGTTACTGGGCTCCAGTAACCACTTAACACCAGATGGGCTGTGAGCTCGTCCACACATCAAAGCAATAAAAAATAAAAATAAAAGAATTACATTACTTCACCGGCCGAGTGTTGCCAGAGCGTGTTGAGCTAAAATGAGACAAATTCTAATGAGAATATATTATATTTTATCTACGTTTGTTAAAATACATAGATTTCTCATCGAGATTAATATGATGTTACACTGTATATGAATATACTAATAACAACCATTGATTGTGAGAATTAAAAGAGTTTGAATTAAACTTCAATATTTAAAGTTCATCCGACAAATAAATTGGTTCAATACTTTAATTTTTTTTTACCGATTTTCATTTGTTTAAAGTTAAATATTAAAACCAAAGATGTCTCAATAGTATAAGGCGAGCTTCAAATGTAACATCATTATTAAAGTTTATATTATATTAAAGGAATCACCATTTACGAAAATCTTGTGTGAGGCTTAATAAAAACATTGTATATGTGTATACATACGTGTTATGGAATAATGAACTGTAACTCATAGACCTTTGGGTTCGGATTCCCTTCTGTAAATAACTTGTGAAAAGTCTATCGAGCTTGGCTCATAAGTCAATGTTGAACTTGTAGGCTATTTTAGTGATTCAAACAAATTATTGATTGAGGGCGGAAAACCAAAAGGAATGTTTCTCGAACATGAGATAATTTATTATGAAATAGATCTGAGAATAAATAATTTCAACTATTTTTTTAAAAACAAATATGATCCATACATTAATAAATAATAAAATTCACAACATCTCATTAAAAGCGATTTTTATCAAAAATAAATGATATTTCTAATAAAATAAAACATGAATTAAATGAAGACTCGTATCCCTTGGACTCACAAACACTACAAACTAACACAAACAATTTTTTTTTGATGTGAGGAACAGTTGAGTTATAAGGTCTTCAAAAAATAAAAGTTCAACATATTTTCAACTGGAACCTAAACCTAAAGGCAAATGCGCCGCTCGTGAACTTAAATATTACCAAACTTAGCTAGAATATTCTGTTCTAATTATTCATCACGTGTTCGAGAAACTTCTCTTTAGCAAAACGCCCAGAATATACGAAATGTCAGATTTAGTTACAGTGAACGAATGCTCGTATGAAGTATGTGAAGCGTTTACATGAGCGGATCCATATTTTTTTATTTTAATTATTTTTAAATGTTCCTGACGCATCCACGTCGATACGCGAACAATAATTGATGATACACTAGTCTCTTAATTGAAAAAAAAAACATAAAAAAAACCAATAAACTCATTAAATACTATAAAAAATTTTTTAGTGATAATAATTATATTTAAGAGTCGGTTTGTTGTGGACTTGTTCAGGAACTGATGCTTTTTGTCTGTCATTTGTTTAATGTTGATTGTTTTTGCTCCTGAATTGCTTACGTGATATGAGAGAGTAGGATTTAATTAATCTATTTTGCACTCTTTCCTGATTCAGCTGTGTAACAAACAGACAGACTAACCTCTTTACATCCACATTAAATAGTTTAATTTTCAATTCGAATAGTCTATATTATATCTGCGAAAAAAAACTAAATACTTGCTCAAACTATCAGAATACATATACGAGAACACAAAACTATATATTAAATTATTTAAAATATAATACAATGAAAAATTATCTTTATTACTTAAAGGCAAAAATAATAGTTTAGAAAAAATAATTCCTTAAACGCATGACAAATTTCTGTTGAAAATATTTGATATATACCAAAAAATATGAAAATGTATTCTAACGAGTAAAATATTATGTAAGTTGGCATCAAAGTAATAAAAGTCTGATTCTAAAATATAAAAAAAAAAAGATATGATTTGTCTATTAAAATAATTATTAATTTCGATTTTATAAATCTACTTGTTTGAATGTTACGTTTATATTAATTTAGAAAGATTCAGTCACTTAAAGTTTTCTTGTGTGCTATAGTTTTAAAATTTTAACCATAATATGCTTATAGAATAATTAAAAGTAAACTGGAAGAAGGGGTTATGTAGCTAAAACTTATAAATGTTGTAATATCTAAAAACGTTACAGGACTTGGAATCATCACTTGGAATCATCATTCTAAATAAAAAATACAAGTTGAGTATGCACAAAAAATTATATTCACAATTAATAATATTAATAATTTGTGCCATTGTGTATTAATTAACACTAAACCTACCTCTACTGGTCAAAATGACCGTTTTCAAACTTTTGTGAAATGAACACCTGTAATTGCTGTAATACTGTTAACAAACTATTTGATGACTCTTAGAACATGCATATGTTTTCATCACTCCTTAATTCTTTCTACTAATAAGTACTTTACTTATCTATTTCTTTTGTTTTTTTATGAAAAAAAAGACCCATATTTGCCTTGAATAATACCAGTCAATAAAATGGTAGGCAGGCAGTGCCTTGGGTCTGCTCCTGGCTTTGGTGAAGTCCATGGGCGACGGTTACCACTCACCACCAGGTAGACCGTATGCTCATTTGCCTACAAGGGCAATAAAGAAAGGAAAAAAAGATGGAACGCGGCAGGAATAGCTACATAAGAACTCTCAGTAGGTTTAGCGTTAATTTACAACAATAATATTAAATATCTGCAGAATATTACGATCAAGGCAAGTCCACATCTGCGTGCGTATAAAAGAACTAAAAGTCAAATATTTGAATGTATATGATTAGCATTATGCCCATGCCCCTTTTGCCCAACAATGTCTTCAATTTATAAGTCAGATTTTCAATTAAAAAAAAATGAAACCAACAAAACATGGCCACAATGTATAGTGTGTTTCAGTTTTTACGTTGGGAATAAAACAAACATACTTAAATTTAAAGGGTTAACTATTTATTATTTCTTTTCCGTGTAAAATATGTAAATAGTAAACAGAATATTAACGGTTTTTTTTTATGTTGTTAGTACATTTGTAGACTATAAAGAGCACTGATCTCTGCCATTGAAGCGTTATGAAACCTGCAGATCACGATTGAACATGTAATAAATGAACAGATAATTCTGATTTTTTCTATATTTTCTTAGCGTTATTTGCGTTACGTTACGACTATTAAGTGACAACGTTACTCCTTTGTTTCATGAAGGTTCATGATCACTTATCAATACTATATTTAATCTGTGGTTAAGATTACGTATCGAATGTTGTATTGGGTCTATGGCGGGAATTTTGAGGCACAACACAAAACATGTTCTGAACATTTCTTACAAATAGTTGTTGTTATAAATAATTTAATAAAATGTAACACATGTCCCCTACAACACAAACGTAATCTCCAATCGATATAAACGACAGTTTGAATATGTTTGTTATTAATGGTAACTTCGCCATCTTTTACTCATACGAGAATGTGGATGAAATAAAAAACTAATTGTTTCTATTGAGCTGAAATCTAATTATTTTATATAGAGGTAATCGAGTGATAATGCTTAGGAAAGCTATTTGGCGAAATGTAAATGTATAAAATATATAAAATAATGCTGGTATATATAAATATATATATGTATAAGAGGGCGGTTGTCTTAAACTCTGATGAAATTCTGTTTGTAGGCCGAGGTTGCGTCGACGGCTCCGGTGTAAGTAGTGCTAGCTTTGTGTAATACGTTTCACTGTGACTTTGTCAATCGGGACGATTTTTTTTTCTTCAGAAGCAAGCTCAACAAAAACCGCCATTCGCTTGACAATAAGACCTCGGCAATTATTGTGAAATAATATTGTGTTTCTTTAAGACGTCAGGGTTAGTCTTTTGTTCAGAGTTTGAGGCAACCGACATGTATCATATTACGTGAGATTTTTTTATTTATCTGCTTTTACATCTAACTATAATGTATTTAAGTTTTAACTCTATTCTTCTTAAATGTTAGAAGTTAAGTCGTCTTTTCTTTATCTGTTCTAATAATAATAATATCGATATCTCAGTTGGTAACATTTATTTTGAGGGAATATGGAAATTAAATGACTCAGGGTAGTTGCGCTCGTGTTTTTAAGTAATTCTAAATTAATCTAGAATGTACATAATAATTTATGGCTAACGATGGCAAACGCTTATTGGGATGAATTCAAATATATTTTTTTAAAATTGTTTTTGTTTTGTTTAATATTTTATAAAAAAGAAATAATGCGTAGTTGAGAAAGGGGTTGTAATTAAACTGCATTCTTTTATAGATTCGCTTCTCAATTGTTTTGACAAGTTCTAGATAATAATTAATAGAAAATAATTCCGCATACTTACCTTAATTTTACTGAATTTTAAATTTCCTATTCTTTGCAACTGAGGTGTTGATATCATAACGAGACTAATTAAGTACAATACGATTGTGTACTTGGAGCTTAAATTAAAATATGCTGAAGTCATTTGAAGAATGCGAAATTGTTAACATTGGTTACTGTATATAACAATTCTACAGTAGAACTTCAACTAATATCAGATCTGGTTTCGCTTCATTGCATTAGGTTTCGTTATTTTCGTCTACATTTTTGTGAATAGAGTTAATTAAACTTAACATCGATTTTGACTGTAAAAGATTGTTTATTCGAAAACAATATTGTAACCAACCGCAATTTACAGTTATAAACTTTTTCACTGTTTCCGTTTTCTTAATAAAAATGTTGAAAATACTGTCTCGATTTGGTTTCAATCGGAATTCTTGTTCAAGTGAAGTTGGTAAATATTATCTTTATCGTTCATTCTCTGCAATTATAAGCGAGGGCTCTTCTATAGAGTTTTTTTTTTATTGCCCTTATAGGCAGACGAGCATATAGCCCACCTGATGGTGAGTGGTTACCGTCGCCCATAGACTTCAGCAATGCCAGGGGCAGAGCCAAGCCGCTGCCTACCGCTAGTATGGCGCTGTACGGGTAATGTAAACTACATAATGCGTGACATATTTTATTTTTATAATCAACATGATACAGATGTTATGGCTTTATTCAAATATTATTTTAATATAATAAAAATATTAACAAATTATCTTACACCAGTTGAAAATGTACATTCGTAGTAGATCTTACAATATCCTAGCGGCCGACGAGTCGATGTGTCGACTCGCCCCAGATTATAACTTAGATAACGTTCATCGCTCATCTACTGGCGACGGACGCGCCCTGCTTCGGGGACGCCGCTGCTACATTTTAAATCGACGCCTATACAAATTTATCGTCTAGTTCGTAAGCTTGACGAAATATAAATCGCAAATCTTTACACAAGCACCAGCCGACGGAACGTGGCGACCGTCGCACTATACACTATATTAATTTATTAAACACGAGGAAGCTTTGGATCGATACTTTCCCTACGGCATGCACGGTGACGGTGACACACGGTCTGCGGAGCCCCGGCCGCCGTGGGTTCGGACGACGCCCCGTCGAGGTTTTTTTCGCGTCGAGTCCAATGACCTACTCGCGAGAATGACGCAATCTTCGCGACGCGGGTGAAAGCTTTATGTACAGAGGTGGAGCGCGGCGTATCTTGGAACAAAGTTCAGAGCTTCGCCCCGCAAGGGCTAGAAAATATCCGGGCAGCCGGTCCAGTCCTGGCGGCGCTTGCAGTCCCAGTAGCGGTGGTTGTAGAGGTGGCGCAGCGTGTTCCCGGCGCCGGGCTGCGCGTCCCTCGTGAACCAGAGCGGGGGCGGGGCGGCGGGGGCGGACACCCCCCGCGCGGCCGCGGCCTCGGCCTCCGCCTCCAGCCGGCGCCGCGCCCCCCGCTGCTTCTCCTCGAGGCGCAGCTTCTCCGTGTTGGCCTCGTCCCAGCAGCCCTCCTCCATGAGGCGCTGGTCGGGGCGCAGCCGCGAGTCGGTGGGCGCGACGCCGGGCTCGGGCTCGTTGAGTTGCGCGGCGAGCACGGTGAAGTTGTACCACTTGTCGGAGTCGGGCGGGGCGGCCACGCGCTGCCACGCCGTCACGAACTTGCCGGTCTTGCAGACGGAGTTGTCGGCCGACGTGCTCGTGACGGGGGCCACCTCCACGCGGCTGTCCCAGTGACCTTGTAGCACGTACCTCGGCTGAAACATTACAAAAATAAAACTATATATATTTGTATAATGTATTATAATATAAAGTAAGTATATGTGTGTATGTGTATGTGTGTGTGTGTGTGTGTGTGTTTGTGTGCATGTATCACTGTATGCACTAGATTTGTGTTCCAATTCTTCTTTCCTTCTGCGGGCCTACTGGAAGAAATTTCAACATGAAATAAGTAGTGCCCTTGTACTCTGTATCCTTATTGTCGTGTTTCTTCTAACAGATGTCTATACAAAATATATTAAATAAATAAATAAAGAGCATCGGAAATTATCTAAATTTTCTTTATACATTATCGTAAAAGCATAGAAACAGAGAGAGAGAGAGAGAGAGACGTACCACACCGTTGGGATCCTTGACAACGCCCGTCACTTTCCGTTGTGTGTCTTTGCTGAAGTACCCGTAGGGCAGGTACTTGAGATGCGCGACGTACCCGGTGGCCGGGCCGGCGTCGCCCACGATGTCCATGTCGCCGTGATTATCGACCCACAGCTTGCCCACAATGATGTTGTGGACGGTGGTGGTCACCTGCAAGATCCGTCCACACCGCGTACAGTTTCAATTACAAATTTCAAATGCAACACCACCACCAAGTCTATATCAAAAGGAAAATTAAAAAAAAATATTTTTTATATCGACTTAGAAATATAATTACAAAATAGTATGTATCATATATGTACAAGGCTAACAATTCTAGCATGCAAATTCTACTGAATTCGTTCAGCTGACGTCAACGCCAGACAGACATTTGAACGTACTCAAACATCACTGTCATCAAAACAATGTATTTATCAATAGAACTAAACAGCGTATGGGTAGTTCTGTGTGCTTAGTGCGAGTTTTTTAACGTACTCGATAGCGTAAAAGTTAGCTCATATTTAAAGTATGGAATGGGATCGTTTGCGTACGCTTGCCGCTAGGGGCGCTGTTCCAACTGCATACAAAATTGGCTTAATCTTTACGCTATCTAGAACGTTAAGAAACTCACACTAAGCACACTGGTCGCCACAGCGTGACGTTATTTAGTAGAAACGCACACACACACACACACACAAGCAATACGGAGTTTTTCACAAACCTTACTCCACCGATATTTATTTCCCGTGGAGAGGAATACGACCTCGGCGGCGCCGCAAGGTGTGACTGAAATGAACTGTCCCCGGAAGCAGGTGGAGAGAGAGCAGGAGTAGCAGCAGACCCACCCGTTAGCTCCCTCGCAGTGCAGCGCGCTCGTGGGCGGATGGTGCTCCACCTTTATCCACTTACCTTTGTCAACGTGATGTTTCCTATTTTGATCTCTATTTGCTTTTTACGTCGATGCAAAATTTCTCATCGACTTTTTGTTAGTCAGTACAGTTGATTGGGGAGAATAGGGACAAATCTGGGATGTCACAATACTTTTGTTGAGTTGTTAAATTTAACTTTGTTGAACTGAAAATATTTATTTAGTGTTTAAGAATATTAAACAGTTTTAAATTAGTCGTCAAAGTTTTGTAACTCATTAAAGATATTAAAAAGTTAATAACCTAAAGTTAGGTACCTACCTAACAACTAAATTGTGCCACCCCTATTGAGAAACTCTATTGACCCCTTAACCGACCCGATTCACCCAGCGCCTGGGTGAATAGGGAAAAATGAGTTTTTGTAACTTTTTATGATTATTCTTTAATAAACTATATCTTAATGTATTATAAATGAAAATTTAAACTACCGAAACCATTATTATCTCCATTTGATTGCTATAACTTACAAAAAAAAAACGATAAAAATCAATGTCGAACTTAAAAAGTGTCCCGCCCGATTCCCGCCATTTTACGGTAAATCTATACTAATATTATAAACAGGAAAGATTTGTTCGTTTTTTTGTTTCGAATAGGCTCCGAAACTACTGGACCGATTTGAAAAATTCTTTTTCCATTAGAAGCCGACATTGTCCCTGATGAACATAGGCTACTTTTTATAATTTTTTTTTTTTTTGGTTTTATGTGTGTTTTAATGTTTCCGAAGCGAAGCGAGGGCGGGTCGCTAGTAAAGTAATAAATAGGAAGACTAATTTAATACTAAAAGGATAATTCTGGAATAATCCAAGATTTTCACGAATTTGTGGAAATAAACTTCATAATCGTTAACGAGTTACCTATCGATGAACATTGCCAACATATTGGTGTTGTTTAAAAAGTACCTAAACTGTTCTTATGATAATTGTTTTTTTTGTTTTATTTTATTCCAACTAAATTGTTTTAATTGTAATTAAATTGTTTTAATTTTAAATTGTTCTTAGCTTCTAGAATACAAACCTTTTAGTTTTCGTGCCGTCTTTACTCATCGTTATCTCGACTATGAGAATAGTCACAGACATAATATAGATAGTAAGCTTCACATAGAAAAAAAAAGTTGCCATATTCAAAATAACGTTGCCTTATTAAAGTGTCTGCCTTATTATTACATCTGTGACTACTATGGTAAGTTCGATACGGATCACGGAGGACAAAAGTAAGGAGCACCATCTTAGTGTATTAAAAAGTGCCCGTTGATAGAGAGCCAAATAAACGCAACGCCATAGTAGCGTGTGGAAAGATTTTAAAAATAGCACCATAACTACTTTATGTATTGCTGGAGAAAGCTGGTTCGCATTCCTTGGACAGCTATGAGAACCAATGTCTCCATCCTCGAAGAGCCGAAGGTCACCAAGCGCCTGCTGACTACGTGCCAGGAAAGGATCCGGAGTTTCTTTGGGCACACAATGCGATCCCCATTGCACAGCCTGGAGAAACTCATCATTCTCGGACAAATTGAGGGGAAGCGCGCTAGAGGAAGAGCGCCAGCTAGATAGGTGGACCAACTCAAGGAGGTGACTGGAGGCCAGATACAGGGAGCGGTACATATGGCGCAGAACTGGACCGAGTGGAGAAAATTGACATACAGTCACGATCCTCAGCATTGAGGAAACGACCAGAAAGAAAGAAGTCTTCCAACAATAACTTGCTGTTTACAGACGGGGCAGTTTTTCAATTTGTCCCCTATATAAGATGGTACTCCTTAGTTCTATCATCCTCCATGATACGAATGAATCGACTTATACATACCTATTTTTGTCGCGACTACAACACGCAGATCCTTAATGAGAATGTAGCAGCTTATAATTATATTTTTTAATAGATTTATTTTAGTATTGCAACACTCACACAGTTAAATCGATACACACACTCATGCAAAGGTTTAGTTTTATTTTTTTAACTCGTTTTCAAATTTGAAGGGTTATTCTTAATGTGACTTTGAATAAAAGGGTCCTTTCTTTGTTACGGCTGTTCAAAGTGACCTACACTGTATAATGCGGTCGTAGTAATTGAGTATTATATTTTAGCTTATTTACAAATCTGAAGGGTTATTCTTGATGTGATTTGGGATGGAAGGGTCATTTCTTTGTTACGGCTATTCAAAGTGACCTACACTGTAAAATGCGGTCACGGTAATGGAGTTTTATATTTTAGCTTATTTACAAATCTGAAGGGTTATTCTTGATGTGATTTTGGATGAAAGGGTCCTTTCTTTGTTGAGACTATTCAGTCCCAAAGTGACGTACACTGCGATCATTTTAATTGAGGAAACAAAAATCTTAATTTTGATTTTTAGCTTTATCCCAGCAATCCCACGGCAATTAGCGTAAAACTAAGTTCAATTGCGTCGATATTATTTTGTCAAGCGGCATGCATCGTTCGAAGGCGAGGCGGGGTTTACCTTCCTCCAGGTGTACTTGTTTCCGTGCGCGAGGAACTTGGCGGAGGCGGCTCCGAGCGGTATGATCTGGAGGTACTTCCCCCGGAACTTGGTGGTCATGGTGAACTCCTGCCAGCACTGCCAGCCCGACGTGCCCTCGCAGAACTGCGCCACCATCGGCGGGTGATGCGACACCTACGTACCCCACCACATCTTTACATACACAACTTCCTATAAAACATTCTATATATTTTCCTTTATTTTTATTTTGGTCAAAGCGTGTTTCCTCTTGAAGCGTTGGTATCTCCTCTTTAACAAAACGTTCCTGACGTTGGATTTCTATTGTTCCACTGAATCAACAACCACTTCTAAGTTAACAAACATTATAAATTACATTATTTGTGTGTGAATAAAATTATATCGACGGGTGTAATTTGGTTATAAGCGACATTTTTGCAACTTTACCAGTACCATTTAAAGTTTAAAATTTGAAAAAAATATCATAACAAAAAAACTTCTTCAGCTATTTGGATGGGGTAAACTTAATTGAAGGTAAAAACCTTGAATTGTTGATGCTAATACCAAATAAAATGGACCTTTAATTACAAAGATAAATATCAGTTATTGAGCGAAATGTCACTTAAACCTCCTTTCAACCTTAGATATTAATAAACTTTCCTTTGCTTTTTCTATAATTATTTATTTAAACATTAAAAAAAACATAACACTATGTAAAATAAATTTTGGTTACATATCTAATGTTTTCAAGGAAATAAATACAAATAATGGTTTATGAATGGAGGTGATTTTTACAAAGAATTTATTTAAAAAAAGGCGGTATTCCAAAATCTCTCATATTAATTAGGCTCAGACAGTTTCTTTCACAAACGATATTAATGTAATTTCCTAAAAACTAAATAAATTAACCGATTTCAACATAAAGTTTTAAATTAAGGAACTATATTAATGATATAAAAAAAAAACAAAAATATGTTTAAAAAATAACATTATTTTAGAATTAAACCTAGATTTTATGTTTATGAAAATGTATGAGATGGGAAAGATGACAGAGAGCATGAGTAAAGACGGAACTTTAATTAATAAAGAGAGGAAAAATGTATTTTTTTAGTGCCAACTGTCAGTTTAAAAAATATTTAATTTAAGAAAATCATTATGAATGTACTGATGACATCGGTACCACAGATCGCGAGGAATGACAAAAATCTAATTTTATAGTTTTGTGCAAAAAGTCTTTATATGATGAAAAAGATTTTTGTGAAAATCGCAACGTAACAATGAAGACTATGGCTTAGTTTCCGTACTTAATGGAGTCTACTTCATTCTTCCACTTTGTCAACTATTAATCTCTCTTGAGAAGCGAGCAGAAGCGAGACAGCTGTGCTATTATTGGAACTTCAACCTAATTCCTCACAGCTTAAGGCAGTATTCATGTTTCCTTATCAGCTTCACAGAGTTAAACCGATATTCGCTTGTATCCGTTTATTTTGCGACTACAAAAATCAAGCACTCTATAGGTTCTGGTACAGAAGGTACTCATGGCAGGGACCTAGCCTCGTCGGTGTCCGTTGACAACAGTGACCCGTTCCCGTGCGGTGGAAGCTTATTGAAATCATATGCGAAGCACTGCTCTTGCTAGGGTCAGTGTTAGCAACTTCGCCAGGTTTGAGCCCCGTGAGCTCACCTACTCGTCCGGTAACGCTGACATAGCCTCTTAAAGCTATCAGCATAGGTAGGAAAAAATAAATAATTGATAATATCCTGAAAAGCACCCCACGCTTTTTTTACAATAAAATAATTTTTTCTTACACTACTTTTAATTCGAATTTATTTTCTATTTTTTAGTTGGATTTTTTATAAAAGCGTATTTTGTTAGTTTTTTAAACTATTACTTATTTTTCATTTTTTTTAGTTGAATTTCATTTTTTTCATTTTTTTTTAATATTGATTTGTCATCGGTCCTTAATAAGTATACCAAGTTTCGAGTTAATCCGACGTTTTGAAGGGGGGTCAAAATCATGTTCAAAGATTCCGTTACATACTAACATACATACGTCTGAAGCTAATAAAAGCGTATTAAAAAGAGATGATAGAAGATAAAGTAGGTTCAGAAGATTGCACAAAGTGGGAATGAGTTGCTCACTCCGGGCATTTCAATATTGCAATAATTTTTAATACTCACAATAATACTCATTGTAAAAACGAATATAAAAAAAAAAAGACATGCCCGCTGAGTTTCTTGCCAGTTCTTCTCAGGACGGAGGCTGGTTTTTGTGAATTGGCGGTAGTTCTTTTTGACGTTCAACAAGTATGTACTTTCATTTAAGTTGAATAATTTTTTTTTTATTTGATTTGTTTATTGTACTTGCCTGTTCGGAGATGGCTCGCCAGCCGAGGTCGGCCATGCGGTCGCATTCGAACGTCTCGCCGAGCAGAGGATTGAACGGTTTGTTTGTCCTGGGAACGATCAACTTCCACATCAATACTGCCTTATTAATATTATCTTATCTTATACTTTTAAACGAGCAATTCTTGTATATAAATATACACAGGGTTACAGGTTAAGTCGACCTATTCCCGTTAAGAGCGTGTAGCTTACATGACTGATTTGACCATGAAACACCCTACCCTAAAACTAACCGATTTAAAGATTTCAATTTAATTGTTTTTTATAAAAAATACCCGATTTTCGGCTATCAGCTTAGATATTTTGAAATGCGTAAGTGTTGTTATTATTATTACATGACTTTTACTTGTAAAATAAGATGCTGTATGACCCCAATAACCAATATTGTACGTAAAATGAATAAACAAGTCGTTTTAGACGGTTAAAACTTATAAAAACTAATAAAAAATTAGAAAGATTATTATTCTTTCAAGGATATCTTAAAAAAAAATTATGGCGCCTGTTTGGCAGATGTGCTTAACAATATCTACGTTTCATCAGCTATCAAACGAGGTACAACAATCTAGGATTTAAATAAAACATCATAGAAAAAAATTGAACTTATATCTCAAGGTGGGTGGCCCATTTACGTTGTAGATGTCCATGAGCTCCAGTAACCACTTAAAAAAAACGGAGAATTAGCATAGAGTAGGCATACGTACCGGCACGCGGTGGTCGCGTACGAGGAGACTGTGAAGGCGGCGACGTAGGCGAGTTGCTGCGCGGGGTCATCGAACTTGGCAGCCTGGTCCAGCACCGACGAGTACTCGTAGTCCTCCGTCAGCCGCTGCAGCATCGACAGCGGCTCGCTGAAGTTCACCGGGATAGGGATCTTCGACAGCTCCTTGCCTATAGTACGAAATATTATTTTTGATGGGTGGACGAGCTCACAGCCCACCCGGTATTAAGTGGTTACTGGAGCTCATACGACATCTACAACGCAAATGCGCCACCCTCTTTGAGATATAAGTTCTAAGGTCTCAGTATAGTTACAACGGCTGCCCCAACCTTCAAACCGAAACGCATTACTGCTTCACGATAGAAATAGGCGGGGTGGTGGTACCCACCCGCGCGGACTCACACAAAAGGTCCTACCACCAGTAATTACGCAAATTATAATTTTGCGGGTTTCATTTTTATTACACGATGTTATTCCTTCACCGTGAAAGTCAATCGTGAACATTTGTTGAGCACGTATTTCATTAGAAAAATTGGTATCCGCCTGCGAGATTCGAACACCGGTGCATCGCTCAACACGAATGCACCGGACGTCTTATCCGTTAGGCCACGACCACTCCGCGCACTTTTGACATACATTGTCGATTTTTCAACAAAAATGCAATTCAATTCGTAATTTTGCTCATCATGTTTTAAAAATGCATATGAATGAAACACACTGCTTAAAGGCATATTTTCTCTGCTGATCAATCATGAAATCTTGCTGATCAAATAGTTATTTTGCGGACTGGATTTTTATTATGCAAACTCATGTTATTGCAAGCTGCCTATTTATGATTTAAATTTTGACCATTATCAAAATTATTTGCGGAACAAGGACTGCTGCCTGATTTTTTTTATTGCAAACAAAATCTATCTTTGTTTGCCGACCAAATTATTTCAATGCTGTTTTTTTGTTGCTCACCAAATTTTATAATTGCTGAACATTTAATTGCTTCTCCATATAAATTGTTCGCATTAAATTTAGTTGATTAGTTGTGGCAGTACAATGTGCACCGGTCATCGTTCTCGTCGAACCCGTCGCTGGCGACGAAGGGCTCGACCAGTAAATTAACCCTCAGACATAGTCCACTGAGTTTCTCGCCGGATCTTCTCAGTGGGTCGCGTTTCCGATCCCGTGGTAGATTCTGCGAAGCCGGCTCTTGCTAGGGTTCGTGTTAGCAACGTCATCAGGTTTGAGCCCCGTGAGCTCACCTACTAGTTAAGGCGACGCTGATATAGCCTCTCAAGGCTATCAGTTTAGGTAAAAAAAAAATACAATGTGCGGCTCCTCACCTATACAGTTCTTCATAATGGACCAGAGACTGAGCGGGTAGTTGGGCTTGTCGGGCACGCGCGTGCGTCGCGGGCGCCCGTCCACGCAGCCCGCCGCCTGCGACACATGCGGCTGCGGGCGACACGTGCAAAATTCTATTTGTGTTTTATTGCTTAGATGGGTGGACGATCTCACAGCCCACCTGGCGTTAAGTAGTTACTGAAGCCCATAGACATCTACAACGTAAATTCACCACCCACCTTGAGATATAAGTTCTACACCACACTTCAAGCCGAAACGCATTACTGCTTCAGCAGAAATAAGCAGGGCTGTGGTACCTAGCCGTGCGGACTCACAAGACGTCCTACCACCAGTAATTAACGTAAGCGTAAACAATGAGTTTACATTTCGATATATATTTCAATGAGTTTTCATATCCAGATTCATACAGTTTAGCACCAATTTACATGTGAATCGAGTGACGCACTTAACCAGAATACCAGTTTTTAGCAGTTAAAATCTGGTAATGTATAAACTTACTTAATCGTCTATGTTGTGGCTAGACCTTACTTCTATAGAATCTTCATTATATGCCAAAAAATAACACTAGTGCTTTTTTTTTTATTGCCCTAGTGTACGTAGTGGCTAACAATTAATTAAACAATACACATTTTTTTGTGTGAATGCCATAAATTTCCTTTATAAGTATAAGACGGAATTTGTTTAATTACACTAATTTAGATTAAAAAGTTCAAACATTGAATTAATAAATTAAACTAGTGGCGTTCGTATAATAAATTTTTTTTTATATTGCCGTATAGGCAGACCAGCATACGGCCCACCTGATGGTGAGTGGTTACCGTCGCCCATGGACTTCAGCAATGCCAGGGGCAGAGCCAAGCCGCTGCCTACCACTTAATACTCTCCACAAGCCTCGTTTGAAGAAGGACATGTCATAGCGCTCGGGAAACACCGTGGAGGGGAGCTCATTCTATAGCCGGATGGTACGTGGCAAAAAAAGATCTCTGGAAACGCACTGTGGATGACCGCAGTGGCTCCAGGTAGTATGGATGAACCGCTTTTAACAACCGGTAGCTTAGTCGGAACTTTGAATAAGCCGTTGTATTTCCCCCCACCAGTAGATCGATCTATATTTCGGTGCAAAGTACTTTTTAATGTCCCACAATAAAGTAGGTTACTTCACGAGAAGATTTCCATGTAATGTGACTGTAACGTACCCAGACGACAATGTCGGTGTCTTTGGTTGGAAGCGACGGTGTGGTGCTTCCATCGGCGCCTCCCATCGCGCTCTCCGCTCGCTCCTTATCCTCCACAAATATCACCTGCACATATAACATAGCGTATACTAATAGTGAAGCCCGATCACGCTCTGTGACTGTCCCTTAACGTGTGATTAAACCAATACTACAAGCATGCCTACCTGTCGTAATCTGTTACTACTACGATAAAACCCAACACGGAATATGTCAACAAAACTGTTAAAAAATCTCAATTCATCAACAAACAAAAACACGGACATTATTTTGTATATTAAAAAAATTTAATCAATATCATTTAATGATAGAATTCGTTTTAAATCATTAACAACAAAAAACATATATAAATATACATACATATACACCTAACCTAAGTAAGATTTTGGTTCCGGTACATAGATAGATACAGGTCAAAGCAATAAAGACGTGTTAAAAATGTAGGTCGCCACGCGAGTAGGTAGTTGAGTTTGACGAAGCATAAAACTAATGTTCACCCGAAGAATACTTTTTAGGGCGTTTAATGGAATTTAATGATATGCCGATAGCAAATTGAGCCTACGTTACAAATAAAATATTAACAGCAAACAAGTTATCTGTGATTCATAAATTATTAATTACGTGGTTTTGCTGCTTCGTTTTTTTTAATTTTTTTTATTGCTTAGATGGGTAGAGGAGCTCACAGCCCATCTGCTGTTAAGTGGTTACTGGAGCCCATAGACATCTACAACGTAGACGCGCCACCCACCTTGAGATACAAGTTCTAAAGTCTCAGTATAGTTACAACGGCTGCCCCACCCTTCAAACCGAAACGCATTACTGCTTCACGGCAGAAATAGGCAGGGCGGTGGTACCTACCCGTGCGGACTCACAAGTGTTCCTACCACCAGTAATCGTTTGATGAATAAACGTGAGCAAGAGAGCTTTATGCATTATTTAAGTGAATTGTGCTTTCATAAATTAAATAAAAGAAAAACGCTTTAATGTACAACAAATATATCGAGGTGAGAAAAGCTATTTGATTTTATGCGACATTTCGGTTATAACTTTAAACTTAACTTAATAATTACTTAAATCATATTAATTATTAATACTTTGGCTTAAAGTTTTGTAATTAAAGATCCGTTTTATTTGGTATTAGTATCAACAAATTAAATGTTTTTAATTGAACTTCAATTAAATTTACCCCATTCAAATAGGCGAAAAAGTTTTTTGTTATATTTTTTTTCCAAATTTTAAACTTTAAATGGCTCTCCTGTAAAGTCGCAAAAATGTCGCTTATACCAAATAGCCTCTCAAGGCTCGATACAACATCCCTCGGGAATCGTTCTTTTTGTCTACATGAAACCCTATGAGCCTGGTACTCATGTCCTTTTTTTGTACCCTTGATAACGTCAGCACAATGACGTTTGTGTACAAAATCATCGTCATCGATTGTTTAGTTACGACGTATTATCAAACAAACACACTTTTGAATTATCTGTATAGACACAGGCCGTTTTCCAATTACAGCACAAGAGCGCATTATGCGGCGTAATGCTCAACTAAGCTTCGGCATAATTCGGCATTGTGCGTCACTGAGTCGCATTATGCTTTGTAATTGGAAAACTACCATTAAGTAATGGTTCATTAAAGAGCATAATGCGACTCAAGGACGCACAATGCTGAATTATGCTGAAGCTTAGTTGAGCATTAAGCCGCATAATGCGCTCTTGTGCTGTAATTGGAAAAANTCGGCTGATATCGAAATATAGATTTCGATTCACGAATCGGTACGATATGCCACGATGCCGATGCGCATCACATCGAGCAATATCGTGTATCGGCTGATATCGATATATAGATTTCGTGCGGGGCGATATCGGATTCAACGATATTGCTGCGATATATAGATATTGAATCTATATACGATTTATATCACCCACTCCTATTATGCGGCGTAATGCTCAACTAAGCTTCGGCATAATTCGGCATTGTGCGTCACTGAGTCGCATTATGCTTTGTAATTGGAAAACTACCATTAAGTAATGGTTCATTAAAGAGCATAATGCGACTCAAGGACGCACAATGCTGAATTATGCTGAAGCTTAGTTGAGCATTAAGCCGCATAATGCGCTCTTGTGCTGTAATTGGAAAAAGGCCATAGATTGCTGTCAAATTCAATCCAATTGTTTTCCATTATCGTAAAGTTAAAACACGTGTTTTTGTAAAAATTTAGATTTTGCGATACTCTTATCTGGGTCATTTCTTTAATCAAATATTTTCCACAAACTTAATCTTTGCTTCAAACGGAAGTAATCCTTATTAATTTAAAGATGCTCTGTGTCATTGAACCATATGGGCAAGTCACATGCAAAGAATACCGCACACTAGATAAAACATTACACACAAAACCAAATAGTTGTGATAAGGCCGCCGCATTACTCTATGGATATCAAAATGCCACTGCAAGAACTTTTTCATTATATTATTATGTCAATGGCAATATGCTACCTAAATGTTCTGCTCTTACTCTCCCAACTCCCTCTAAATGGGATACACATGGCTCAGAACCAGTTGCTCGGTCTTGCCTGTTTATGACATGACGCTATCATATGTTCCAGATTGTAGTAGGATAACCGTTAGATAATAATACAATTGAGTTGACAATAAAAATCATAAATTCACTCAGTAGTTAATAAATCTAAAGGTTACATAATTTAATTATAATTATAATAAAATAAAATAATAAATAATTAGCCCAGGAAGGAATCAGAGCATGGTTATAAGGTATCTAAACTATTATTCCTAATTATTTTTTTCTTTTCAATGAATATATCACAACTTTTTTATTGTTATTTACTAATGACTATTATTATGATCCATTCAAACAGTTGTGAATATTGGTATCAACCCGGTAAGCGACATGTTTGATTTATTGATTATTTATGTAAATTCAAACAGGTCGCAATCGGTGAAAGTTCTGAATTATATTCAAACAACTAACCTGTTGTGTTTCTGTCACTGTTTCACCTTCTGATTCATCCGAACTTTCACCGTCCTTCACTTTGTTTTTTCTATTAACCTGTAAACAATACAAGAGTGACATCACCACTAAACGAATAACAGTCATTATTATAATGGTTAAATTATTGTAATTTTAAGTATATCTGTCATAATCTTATTAAAAGTGTAAACTATCTTTAAACTACAACGGTTATTATAAAAAATTTGCCACTGCAACAATAAACACAACATTTACACATCATTTTATCGGCTAGTACTCTAGTATTATCTACTAACAACTTAGTTTACATTTACCATTACAAATGTGTCAATGTCAATGTTCAGTTTCGGATGGTGCAACAACACTATTCTAAGTTTCAATTTGACCTTGCTAGCTGCGATGAATAATTTCATGTTTAATGTTTTTCTGAAGGTCACAGTGAACTCACGTAATTAGGATGCAACATGCTGCCACTTTTAAAAGTTTTATTATGGAATACACATTTCATGAATACAGATTCGATCACTTAAAATACACTCCAAAATAGCATGACAGATACTAAAAATCGAATTATTAATTTCCACAAAAAAAAGTTACAATTATATTTATTATATAAATGAAAAAAGCAACATTTTGTTAAGGTTGTCATCATTGGTATTCAGTCAAGGCCATCTCTTGTTTATTGTTGAGTATGGTCATAGTTGTTGCTTGAAATTCGTATATGTATATAAAATTCAAAATACAGAAATTTGAGGTTTGTGAAGAAAAGCTTATATCAGCCACTATAATGTACTTGTTATTGAAGAAGTTTTCTTACAGTGAAATGTTTGTTGAACAAAATGAATTATTATTAATCATTTCAACCATTACTTATACAAGTTTTGTTTTATGTTGTGAAGCAGTAATGCGTTTTAAGGATGGTACAGCTATTGTACTGTAAAACTGAGACTCATGTCTCAAGTTGGATGACAGCATTTAGGTTGCTGATGTCTATGGGCTCCGGTGACGACATAGCACCAGCAGTGCTGTGAACTGGAAGAGTTCCCACCTAGAGGACCCGCCTAACCAAGTCGAACATAGTGGCACTTAGCATGTCATGTGTCATTAAATAATATAGTAGTATGGAAGAAAGGACATCACTTGATACGTAGATCTTACTTAAAACACTGCTACTCACTGGTACTTTAATTACAAATGAAGTCTTATCATCCATGTTGGTTGAGATGCCCTCCTCCACTGCGTCAAAGAATTCATGGTCTTCATCCTCAGTTTCGTTGCCTTGAGTTGTCCCGTTACCACCTATAAAAGAAAAGTAATGTCAGATTTAAAAATTTGTTGTTGTATTCTTAAGGTTTAAAAATCTCAACATGTGGCAGGTTTATTTTAAAGCTATAATGCAAGGAATCCACTTCCAAACATAGGCCTTCCCTTGATTTATATAGTTAAATTTTGAGTTTATAAAAAAAATACATTATGTGCAGATTTATGGCAAAATTTAATTTTTTCTACATTCTTTATTTTAAACAACAATTACTTTTATTGGAACTCAATTATTTCAAATACCTTTAATAATATACTATAATAATGCCACATTCTAATTTGTGAATACTAAAATACATATTGCTATTTTCCTTTATTTCACACATATAGTACATATGAGTCGACTATTATCAAAGCCGGCAATGTGACTTTTGGACTTTCTTCTTCTTCTTCCTATTCGTACACTCTTGACAGAGTGGTCGTGGTCATGCATCAGTCGGAAACGACCTGCTCATGACTTTTGGACAATTATTGGTAAATCAGAAAAACGAATTATTGACTTTGTATTCCATTGACAGTCACAAAACTCTTCTGAACGACATCTTAGATAAATAACAGGTTAAGTATTAACCTTTATTTAATGCAGGTTTTGAACCGTATTCTCTGAAGGAGACGATTATATTCAAATCAATCTGTATTGACATATCAATAACATTTTTTTGTCCATGCACAGATTGCCACCTTTGATAATAGATGACTCATATTTAATCAAATGATGAATGAATAATGAACACAAATAATTAAAATTAATTCCTTGCTTTTCAAAGTCTCCATGTGGTAACTACTTACTCATACTAATACATTTTTAAATTGATTTTATACTGATAGTTAATATTACATTGCTCAACAAGAGATCTACATATGAAATCATTGTATGATGAACAGAACCCGATCCAAAAATGTATTCCCAGGAAACAAATCAAAATTGTATGGAACCAAATATATTCTAAAACTAGTGTAACTGTTCTACAAGTAACCAACAAAACAAAATTAAATAAATAATTATCACTTTGTTGGCTCTGCAGCGGAAAGAGCATATTCAATATGTAATTAAAGCACCATTGCAAAGTACTGCTCATCTCTTGCATAACCACCTCTTTTAAACCTAAAACATGTAAATTGTGATTTATTTCAAGCAGTGTACTAGTGATGTTCGTGCTTGTATACGTATCAGGAATTAAAAAAAAATTATTACTCTGGCATTTATGTACTGCAGAGTTATCAGATTGTATGTAACATGCAACTCATCATGTGCTTTGATGCATTTATTTGTGAACTCTAGAATTAGACTAGAATTTGCATTTATTGTTGAAGTAGAATTTTTATTTATCAAACTACGCTTTGATTAATGCTTGTTTTAAATGCAATTCACTATTCTGTGTTTATAATATTCAAAAGAGAATCGTGTTTTCAAAGCAATCCATCATCCAGCATTTGTGATGATTCAATTTCGTTATAGTTTCGACTTACCGCCCATAACCGCCAAATATTCACAGCCTAACCTCAAGCCGACAAGATTTTTTTTAAGCACGAATACACACACATAACAAGGCAAATATTATTATACATAGGAAAATAAACGATTCTTAATATTTTACCACTTGTAGATGGAAAATGAACGCCACGTTGTAGTTTCCTTTCTCATTCAAAAACAGCAGACGATAATTTGCTAAACGTGTACGTAACACTACCAATTATCTATTGAAATACATTGCGAAGGAAAACAACCTTGAATTCGCCAAAAAAACTGTCTACTATAAATGACAAATTGGCCGTTTTGCTTCAACGTTTACGTACCGATGTCAGTTTTTTTTATCACTTATCACATATTTAGTACACTATTTTTGTACGCTTTATTTAACAATTCGTGTGAAACTCTCCAAAATTGTAATTTTATGGTCAAACGAAAATATTTTTCGATTTTTCTTCCGTCACTTGATAGTGCGTTCCATACCACGTAGAATTTTGTAAATTTATTAATCGACTTATTGTGACAGCTGACAGCTGACAGATCAATTCATTATTGCCACACATTTGCCTCCAAGGTAGGTAGGTAGATATTTCGCTTTTGAATTGATGCTTAGCTTTTGCCTGACAAAACTATATCTATTTATACATCTATGAAAGCGATTTTTTCAACATAATTTTTACCAACTTAAAACACAGGATTAATTTGAAAATTTTGACGTGTGTTACGGTCTTATCTTAGACATTTGCAATAACCAAAATAAAAATTTTAGACAAATTTATAGTTTAATAATAAGTTTTTATTGTAATTGATGTAGAGGAGCACACGACCCATCTTATAGGCAGTTGTTACCGTAATTCATGGACTTACTAAAACTATTTTCACTTATTTATTACCAGTATTAAGATTGAATGTCATGTATTTATTTTAAATGTAGCGAATAAGCTCATTTTTATATTCAGCTTTAATAAACCTTCTTTCATATTTATTTGGTGGTTCACGAGTTCAAATCTAACACGCGTTAAATGGTTACTAAAATTCATAGAGATCAGAAAGTGAATATTGCTACCGGTTTTGAGGTAAGAGGTAGAAATATTTATAGTACTGTATTATTAAAGCTATCCTTCAATCCGAATATACAAATGTGCACTCTTGTGTGACACACACACACACACAGACTCACCTATGATATTGTTGTGAAATTAAATTGTGTATTTTACTCTAATCTACATATGAAGAAGCGTGTGCCAATTTTCAGTACGCAGCGGCTTGGCTGTACCTGTAGCAGTATCTATGGGCGGTGAACAGTACTTACCATCAGTTAAGAGAAATGACACTGCTATTGAAGTCAGTAGAAAACTTTTGAGTGATTATAATGAAAAAATTAGATTTTTAAGATAACAAAAGTTATTACCTTTTTTTAAATGGCATATTTTAAAAACTTAGCCCAGTGGTAGCATAATCTTTACAGTTACTGTCCTGGTCCGGTTCTTAGGTGAAAAGGGTTTCATTAGCCGCGCCAATAAAGAAACGAATCTAAAATGGCGGCGGCGATCATACGTTCTCACTCTAAGCTATTGCTGTCTTTAGTCGCACACGACGCGTACTGTTATTTGTTGCATTTGTTCGTTATTTCGTGGTTATTTTGTTATTTATTTTACACCTCCCACTCTGCCAGGGCACAAAAGTAAAGTACATTCTCATTTGTTTTAAGCTATTGCATAGATTTTATCGCGGCGACCGAATCATGAAATTCCGTAACGAAAAAAACCTTACACCCCTCACTCCGCCTACCATGTAGCTCGCGTTCAACACATTCACACGTTGCGCTTGGGTAGCTTCGATCAACAATAGTAACTAGATTTCGGGTCGGTGCATAAAATCCGTCTCGTCAAATAACAGCGCACTTGAAATGTGAGCTCTTATTTTGTTTAGTTCACTTCGAACACAGCCAATGTCAACCCGTCTCACAATACCGCAGTGTGTATTCAAAAGTTGCAAAAATAAGGCCCGAAAAAGCAATTTCACGGCCGGAGTATCTTACTTTCGNATATGAAATTATCATTGTCTAATTATAATTGCAAAGATTTGCTTTTATTAATGTTTAATATAGCGTGGTCTTGTTTTATTATTGTTTTAATATGAAATTATCATTGTCTAATTATAATTGCAAAGATTTGCTTTTATTAATGTTTAATATAGCGTGGTCTTGTTTTATTATTGTTTTAATATGAAATTATCATTGTCTAATTATAATTGCATGAGTTGATAAAAAATGCTGTGCCATTAGCTTTACCGTGGTAGTTCCCTAGTGCCACACTTTTTTTTTTTTTTTTCCAATAATCAACTTTTTCTTTCTATCTTTCTTTTTATTTGTTGACCCTACCATCTGTCAGTGCAGGTACATAGACGCCATTTTCGATTCGTTTCTTTATTGGCGCGGCTTATACAAAGTTTCAGTGCTATGTGTCAGCAAATAGATAAAATTTAATAATAGATAAAAGCTTAAGTCACTAAAAAATTAAAAAAATATATATACATGAATCCCCTATACAAAAACATTCAGACCATCGGTCTACTGAGGACAAACATGTATTTAGATTTTTTTTCTTATAAGTAACAACACAATGTAAATAGACCCACTTCGATAGAACGGCACGACACGAAAACCCTCTCATCGTGGCCGCCAGTAACTACATTCCCGATCCTACGGGCAGAAAGGAAAGCAGTCGACGTCGCGTCGTCCCAAGCACGTCACTTCGGATCCTCCCGATCCACTAACGGTGCTTTTAGGTACTTCAAGCACCGGTCATCGTTCTCGTCGAACCCGTCGCTTGCGACGAAGGACTCAACGAGTAAATTAACCCTCAAACACAGCCCACTGAGTTTCTCGCCGGATCTTCTCAGTGGGTCGCGTTTCCGATTCGGTGGTGGATTTTGCGAAGCACGGCTCTTGCTAGGGTTTGTTAGCAACGTCGCCAGGTTTGAGCCCCGTGAGCTCACCTACTAATTAAGGCTACGCTGATATGGCATCCCAAGGCTCTCAGATTAGGTATAAAAAAAAAAGTAAATGGACAAAGATAAAACAATAAGGTATGTACAACTTTCTCCTCTATTTGTCAAATGATTTTCTTTTTTTGTTTAGTAGACATTGAAGACTTTGATAAAACAAAAAAAATGATATGTTTGCATAAATTGAATCCTTGTTAACAGTGTTTGTTGATAATTAGAAAAACTAGTATATACAGATACGTAGTCTTATACTATCAACTACGTATTTATCAGAATACAAATTTCCCAGATTTTATTTCATTATGTAGGAAAATAATACATTACAACATATTTGCATATGAAATCTTTTATATTTATTTTTAATTATTATTCAAATGATTATATTGCATTAAAATGGAAATATTTTACATTAAAAGTATCCAGTGAATAGTATTCTTTAAAGATGATAGATAATTCTTAATATACCAAGGTTAGAAACTGTGTTTCTAAATATTGAGAAGTGGCTTACCTGTGTGCGGGGTGGAGCGTGCCGTGACCGTCTTTTCGAGCGTATCATGTTGTCTAGCGAGTTGTTCAACCACCTCCTGTAGACGGAGCTTCTGTTCTCGCTCGTGTTGCAAAGCTCGCGAAAGTCGTGCGCTTGATCCGGCTGCTGCGCTCATAAACTCAGAACAAGCCTAGGGGCAAAACAATCATAATTGTAAAATAATCTTTGTCATTACCATGACTTAAAGGATAAAGAGCTGGATTTAAGCATATGAAGTTATGCAAATATCCCGTACTACACATGCCACAGACTATACAGAATATGCATCCCATAGACAGATATCTATTTACTGTAATGAAATCAGTACTTAACACATGTTCATAAACGATTTCCACAATGAGGGAATACCATTGGGTATTAAAAATCAAATTCGTATGAATTATAATATTTAAAATTACTGGCGGAAGCGTGATGTGAGAGCTTGCACGGGTAGGTATTGCGCACCTTGTCCAGTTTGCCTCTAAGTAGTAATGAGTTACGTCTTGAATGACGAGATAGCAGTTATACTCTACATTAGACATAAGACAGGTTACCGTACTTATATTGTGTTAACTATTAACTCTGGCCACCACTTAATACCAGATGAACCGTAAGCTCATTTTACTAGTATCAATAAAAAAAGTCATTAATGGGCAGCCATTACTTTCTATTAAGAATATTATCTAGGTATTTTGGTTTATTTTTTGTGTAAATAATACTTTTTTATGATTCTATGTAAAATATTATAGGCATTCGATTAGAGTTTAGGTCCATGGCACAGAAGAATCTTAGGGCTGTCCGTCTGAGTTAGATTTTGATAATTCATTTCTAATAAATTCCAAATTTTAATATAGCAGAAGAAATTATTACATTCATCATTGCATTGCAGGATATTCTAAAGAGTGTCGCTCGTTCGGAAACTTGCTTCGTTGTATCCGAAGGTGGTATTTCCAAGTCAACAAGTGATCTCTGTAGTGCTGTTCCATGTCTTGCTACTAATTCTGAACAGGTACGCAGGTCATGAAATCTTGCTGCTAGTTCTCTTGCAATGCCGCCAGTGTCTTCTCCTTCACCTTCACCAGCCCCACCAATTACTACTGCTCCAGATGCCACCTGGTCTTCATCATCATCTGATTCTTGAGCTCGACTATGAATGAATGAATTAGGAATATCAACATATATGTATATTAAAATAAATTGACCAGATGAATCTGGTCATCTGGTTTCTAGAACAGGTTAATAATATATATTAGGAAAATAAATGAACAGTAGTTAAATATTGTTTAGCATATGATCAATGCATTTCAACTTAAGAAACACTATGTTGAAAATAAAAAATTTAAATGTACTTTTTCATATACTATAATTCTATTTTTTAAGGTATATGAAATTCTAAAATAAAAATGATAATTGTGAGATTGAACTATAAAAGACGACTCAATTATATTTAAATAAACTTTGGAAAAAAGATTTGCTCAGTAACAATATGCTGGTATACTGGTATAATAATTACAGCCAGTTTGGACAGTCTGGACCCCATGATTCAAGCGAAGCGATTACCTTGAGACACAAGGTCTTCTGATTGTCTGATGTATATCACTCTTTAAGCTTGAATGCAAATGGCTTGGGGCAGAATTAATGAGGACAATGACAAATACCCAGGAGTGTTCCCATAAAGCCCATTTACACTTTATAAGACTTTATATTATTATAATACATTATTAATTCAGCTTGTAATAATTAATGAAAATGTGCTAGGTATATATATAATTACTAAAAACTGTAGCACACCCTAGCTACACCACTTCAAGCCCAATAGATGCATTATTTTTGGTAGTATCCTGGTTTCATATACATATGGAACTCGGTAAAGTAAATTATAAATTTTTAATTATTTAACCTCATGATGTTTACCTACACTAGCAAAAAATAAGTAATGGAAACATTCAGGAAAAGTAATATTGGACATGAATTATTCTTAGACTATTAAATGGTGAGATATGAAATTTGTTTGCCTACTACTGACTTTTGTTTAAATTTATTCAGGTCCAGCAAATATTAATTTGTACTTCAGCATAAATACTTAAATTAACATTACTTTTAGTTTATGATTATATTCTATATTATGACTGTTTCGTTAGTAAATATTTGCCTTAAATCCTGTAAACAAATTATTGAATCCATATTTTCATCTGCTACTTACATTGCTTTAGCCTTGGCCAATTCTAGGGCTGTAACCCAACTCTGACGTTCTACTTCATCATGAGCTTTAATGTAGAATGTCTGTGTGCCACCATTGCTGATGACAAAAGTACATGAATCAGCAGTGTGAATAAGAGCACCGAGCAGTGAAATAGTTCCTCTACACGTATGCGCCATTTCTGCTTGGTTCCTGCAAAATTAATTTATAAATGGTTATTTTAATATTCAAATAAATCATTTATTAGTTCGGGTTAATCGACAAATGATAACTTTCCATTTATTTTTCTTATTATTTTATTTCTGTTTTCAATAATTATAGTTTTTTTTCGTCACAGGCACATGGTAAATATTATAATGAGAATAATAAATTATATTATACAGTCAAAACCGTTTACTGCACCATAGTTTAGAACAACATGCCGGTTATAATAACCTAGAACAAAGGTCCCGGCTGAATGCTATATGACCGCCTTATTAAAAACATTGCTTTATACGACATTGCTAATAACATACGTCATAAAACGAATACATTTAACTAGCATTTCGGAGAATTAGATCTGTTAGAACGACCGGCTAAGCTGTATTGTAATCAATTTGAATAGGTATCCACATTAGTCTTCAATGGCTATTAAAATCGGGAAGAAAACAATAGGATTTAGTTTAGTGTAGGGTATTTTCTAATTCTTAGAAACAAAACATGTGCATGCGGTAGAGTCAAAGCCCGCTTCTTCATATTTGTTCAGTCAGTTTGTTACTTATCTATACACAAGATGAACAAAAACTTTGTGGAGTTATTCGTGAAACTTTCAAAATGTCGCAAAGAAAAAGAAAACAAATTAATATTGAAGAAAAATCGCGTATTATGTAAATATATTTATCCAATAATTCCTTATTGATTTGTTTGTACTTGCACGATACACATTAAACATCACCGGTTGTTACGACTATCGGTTTTTACGACTGAATATGAGTGGTCCCTTCGATCTCGTTATAACAAATTTTGACTGTATAAATCTAATAATAAATATGTCAACGACTCACAAAAACAGCAAAGATATATGTATGTATGTATGGCTTAAAAATATGACAAGAATTAGATCAGATCCACATTTACTAGACTTCATTCATAATGGCAAGTACTCATTCTTTTTAGCAAATAAGCACTAAATAAAATTTATTGGTTAACTTGTGTAAGAATGAAACCACAAAATTTTATATGTTTGATATTTAGACTTTTAGTCTAACACATATTTTAGTATTTACTTTGGTATTCCCTGTGTTGTCAGCACTGTTGGTCTGTCACATTTCATATTAAGTAACTACTTAACCATAGATGAAATGTAAGCCCTCTCTCTACCCATCATGGGCAACTTAATAGTCTTTCATTTAATAATTACTATCAATAATAGCTCTTATCAATCAATGTTAATACAAGTTTGTCTCAACTTTAAACTGAAATCAAATATCCAATTCAGCAATTAACTAAGAAACAGAGATATGTAAAATTATTTGGCTTACAGTGCTAATAAAATAAAAATAATAATTGGAAACTGCATAGACTCTAATTTAAGAGTAGGTACTTATAAATAAGTAACATAAGTTTATGTTAGTTAGTTTAATAATTACTCATTTTTACTATCCACTTTTCAGAACTTAGTTCTTAGTTTTCTTTACACAGCAATTTGAGATGGTCACTCCATAACTAAACATTATGTAAATATGTACTGTTTAATTAACAATATTAAGAACTACTGGGGAAATCACTATAACCTTGAAGCTTACATGCAGGCAAGGTCATTGTTAAAAATTAATGAATCATAAATGATAATTTTGTCTCAATGGATTATTTGAAATTTTTTGGATCGAATGTCCTTGAGCCTCTATCAATGTTAAATAAATAAAATTGAATTATTTCTTTAAAGAAATATTGTAGGTTCAGGCAAGATATATGGGTACACTGTAAATTTTAAACTTACACAACTGAAAACTCTAAGTGTTATAGGAGTTATTGACTACAGTTGATAATAATATTATGTGGTTGGACAAAAAAAAGTTACGTGAAGATCCAATGCGTCATATGGAAACAGCAAAAATCAAACAATCAATATGATTAGTCGGTGTTGATAACAAATTAAAAAAGGGTTTGTATATTCAGCATTTGGACATTAGTTAACACAAAAATTCGTTTAGCCATATACCTGTAGTAGGATAATAATCCGTTGGACAACACGAACCACCTTCGTTGATATCCTTTTAGGTAATTCGTCCATTTGAAAAGCCATCCCTTTTTTTCAGGATCCCCGGGTATCGGTTGACCTTTAGGCACAATTGCTTCTGACATTTTAATGTGATAAATGTAGTTTTTTCTTAAAAAAACATAATTTAAAAAGATCTACGCCACGTCCGTCGCCCGTCCACCATATCAAAATCAATTTGACACAATTCGACATCACCTTTCAGCACTCACTGTCAGTGTCAGCCAGTCAGCCATGCATCTCTTAGTAGAGCCTGTGGTCAGGACGTAGATTAACTAGAAATAGAAAATGAAAAAATAATATGCGATATTCGGGTTTTTTTTCCTACCTAACCTCACCTACCCAAGCCTTATTGAGATTGAGGGCCTATGTCAGCGTAACCGAGAGAGTAGGTGATCTCACGAGGCTCAAACCGGGAGTGTTGCTAACACTGGCCCTAGCAAGAGCAATGCTTCGTAGAATCTATTACCGGATCGGAAGATATTAACTGAGAAGATCCGGCAAGAAACTCAGTGGGCTAAATTATTTAATAACAAGTTAGGCCTAGCACAAACGATATGCGCATTCCATCGAATATCGCAATTAATTTCTCAACATTTTATCATCGAAGATTTTTCCTTTTGGTAGGTAGTAACTTACCTATATTAGCTTCAAATCTATCCAATATAAAACAATACTAAACTGTCCGTTTTTGTCAGCTCTCAATATTTGCGAAAGATTGCAGCAAGGTTTCCTGCACTTATTGGAAATACCTGCACGCATCTACAAATGATAGATAAATGTACAATCATATTTAATTTTATGAAATGTTTGCCATTTATTAATAAATTTAACTTAATAAAATATCAAATAGTATATTAAGAATAGATTAAATTAAAATTACCAGGTAATCAGCTTATTTCTCTCAAAGCGACGACTAGTACTAGCCCCTAAAACTTGCTAAAAACACAATACCGTCAGCTTTTTTAATTAAGCATTATTGATGGAAATAGTAATATCGCAGTTAGAAGTAGAAATTCAAGACTAGTACATACCAATATTAAACGACTTAGTACATCGGTTATTTACGTTAACTAAATATTGGTATAATTTAAGAGCACTTATAGACGGTATTATAAAGGTAAGGAATTCTAATCCCAATCCTAATCCTAAGCACGCGTTTGTTCAACAATTAGTTACAATGTTAAAGTTATGTTTTTAAAAACAAATTGATACCAACAAAATTACATTTATTGTGAAATATCAATTGAAAAATGTAATAAACATATACATTGAAAAATTTTCATTTACATTTTTACAACTATGAAATCTCAGTAGCAGTTTATTTTAAAAAGGTTTCCGTCTTTACTTCTTACGTCTTACTTCTTTTCGTCTTACTTATCTTCAAAGGAAAATCTTGCTAATATTAGTCCCGGAGAGAGATAGCGCTTGTAATAATAGCGCACTGTACATCCGTTTTCAGCGCGCTATGTAAGTATCGCAGTAATTCCCACATAAATGTGGTACTTATATGGAACAGCGTCTTTCAGCTGTCAAACTAAGCAAAAATATCAAAATAAAATTGACAATGGTATCATTCATTCGGAGTCAGACTAGAGTGATAGTTAGTAAGGTTTCGAAATATTTTGTTCAAGGTAAAATCCTTCGCTCCTTTCTCATTTACGAAAATTATTTATTCAGAAACTAACCTTTTTCGTGGATAGAAGGGATAGTATTTAAACTTGCTAGTGTATAATCTATAATTGCTTTATAGTTTAAAATGAGTAAATGTCTATTGTAGTTTAGAAGGTACGAAGTGAAAATCTCGAAATTTGTTTATTTTTTATTAGGTCCAGTGTGTAAAAAAAATATGGGAAGCTCCTACTCGAGATCATATTCTCCCAACAGTGGCCAAGGTGGAAGCTGCAATGAAAACCGTGAGTAAACCGGTTTTTCGTCATTGACTTTAGTCGTCATTAAATATTCTAAAACAGTTTTTTCATAAATGAAACATTCTTTAAGGAAAATTAGAGCTAACTTAATTTTATGTAAATTATAAAAACTAACAACAATTAAAATTAATTGAATTTTTTTAACTACTATAACACTGAATTTAAGAATTTAGTAAATATGGGCCATTGTTTGTATTGTAACAATTATACACACTTCTCTATTTTAGTGATCTTGCCAACCTTTCCAATCTTGATATGCAACACTATCCATTATAAAATTTATCATCCCAATGTATTGTGATTGGAAAAAATCTGCATATTGAATCCCTATTTCTTTTTATTTTAGTTATTAATTAGAATTGAAGTACAGTAAAAAATATCAGTATAATTATTTTTCAATAGCAACTTTTTTACCATCGTCCTCAGTAAGATTTACTAATTATTTACTAATTACCTAATTTTCCAGACATATTTAAATACATAAATCTATTAATCATTAAATAGCTCATCATATCATAATCTAGTGCTAACCCAATACAAAGTATTTAATTTATTAACAAAAAAAAAGCAAAACATTTTATTTGAGAAGTAATAAATTGAACTAAAGTAAATATACGATTCAGAGTTTTCAAACACTCGAAAGTTTTATGTAGACAACATCAGCTGGTTGGTCTGATCTGACTCAACAGAAAATATAATGCTTAGTATGATTCAACATCTTGATTATCTCTCTGAATAATAAGAGTTTTTCTCAACATGTGTACAACAGCTGTATTGTTCTGTGACTTTATTATATATTTGAATCATTCTATGTAAATTTAATATGTCTATTGTAAAAACTTCTTGTGTAAATAAAATAACAAGAAGAATAGAAGTTTATTACAAAAATAAATTACTAACAAACTTATGTACTTGTGTCCTTTGAAACTAGTTGCATACCCCATATATTGAAATAAGTTTATGAAGTATTCTGATTCCAATTAATTCAAAAATACTATATTTCGATATATAAATAGTTATGTCCAAGGCGTTTTCATGCCCCTGAGCGCGAGGACCTCTGATAAGGTTTCCATAGAATGAGAGGGGTGGGTACACTATTCAGTGCACTGGACAGTTACTGTGTTAATCTTACTAGGGCTCAGAAGAGATTCAGGATTTTTCTGGACTATCTACAGACCCCAAACCCTATGTTTACGCCTGACCCACATTTCATTGGAAGTTAGTTACTATAAGCTCATAAACATTGACAATCTCGGACGACAGCCAAAATGCTGCCTGCTGCCCCCAATCCATGTTTGGTTTTTGCCTTAATAGTTAAATAGGTACCTATATAAAACCTAAAATTCAATTTAAGATATCAAAATGTTTCATATATACTAATATATAAATCTACAGTGGTCTATGTGGATGTTCCGTTATAACTACTGAACCATGCATCTGATGGACTTGAAATTTGATATTCATGTGGAAAATACATGTACTTAATGGATAGGCTAATATTTATATGAGTGTTGGACTCCCTACACCAGTTGCGGGGGCGTTTATGATGAGAATCTTTGTAGGGGTGAGAAATAATAATGCTAATTTTAAATGCCCAGCGAAGCAGATGGGTACAGCTAGTATATCATAAAATGTCAGCTTAAGAATATTCTAAATTTGCCTATTTATCTGTGTGCAAAAATCTAGGCGATCCCTTGCTCTTGTGATGATTTAACGAAAACCAACAAACAATTTCGTAATAATAATAATGTTAAATTGCTCATTATTAAAATGTGCCTACATAGTACATTCAGTCAGGCCATCAGAACTCTCGTCTTCCTACCGACATTTCGAACTTACGTCATTACCGAATTTAAGCGTGACAAACAATCGGCTTGTGTAAGTAGATATAAAAAAATATATCGTAACTACACAATGAAGCATAGTATCGAAAATGAAATACACTTCAATTTCCATGTTTTCATTCGCATTTATAACGGAAGTATAATATAAGATTTGAAAAGCGAACTGGACCGTTAATTTTGAAAGGCCGTTGTATAAATGTTTAGGTTACGGTTTAAGAAACCGAAAACATTTTTTCCCTTCTTTTAAATCTAATCGTTTTAATATAAACACCTGGATTACTCAGTGGTAACTCGATCGACCGAATGCTGTTACAGTGATGCTTCGAATTTACCTCGTAGAATAAATATATTTACATACGTGATGAGCAAGATTTATGATCGAACTAAAACTTTTCAAAACGGAATCATTGAGCCATTTCCCAACTCTCGATACTGGAAAAAACTCGAGTTCAGAATAAAATGCCTGTTTATAAAAGATGAATATTCGTTGAGAACGCGATTATTACTTTTCCGCAGTTAAATCGAACAAATATTTGTTGATTCCAAGGTGATTTGTTGTAATATCTAGTCTGCGTGGTGTTGGATACTAAGTAAACAAAAACAAATTGAGGCGCTATTAATCGATGACCATAAATAAAAAAAAAACAAAATTAATCTACATACCTACCTTTAAGTAAATAGGTTGGCAATTGAATATTATTTTCTGTTTATTCTGAATGCTTCGGTTAGCGTCATTCGCTGTTGGTTCCTATGTAATGATAAGATTTAGACTAGGACTATTTCAGGTAGGCTGAAGGAAATCGATGTAGACTGGAATTTAAATGAAATAGCCCTAAGCCATGAGGCCGACGGGGTACAAATCGATGAAACTCGGCCGGTGTTCAAGTCAATATGTATTCAACGGCTGCCGGCGTACAGTACGGTGGATTCTAACCGAAACGCATTACTGCTTCACGGCAGAAATAGGCAGGATGGTACCTATCTGTGCCGGGTCAAAAGGCGTCCTACTACCAGTACAAATATCAGTAATTCATTCAAATTTATTTTATAACCTTCCGTCCTAACTATCGTCCTTAAATTATCAAAATATTATATAAGCGCTCTATCCGGAATTGACTTCAGTTGTCGCCGCGAATTCGTGTTCGCCATTCGTGTGTCGAATTCGCCAGACGTTAGGGGCTTACCAGACCGAGGCAAATTTTCCTTGACATCTGTCTCGACGGCTTTTGAACGCTATAACCCACTCATAAGCACCTGTTTTTGATAAAGTCGATTCACCTTAAACCTTCTACATACTAACATTTTCAGTGACTCCGAACACGAAATGCCATTGGCGATGCAAAATTTAAGACAAACTCTTTGTTTGATGTCTTTTGTCGATTATAAAATTCGCAATGCAAATTAGATGTGACATAGTTATAACAGCATTATATTTAATCTAAGTAACAGATGTAACTCAAACTCCACGCCAAAATGGAATACAGTTCTGCCAATCTAACAGTAACTAAATAAAAATGAGTTTGCAACCACAAACAAATCATTCATTCCCGATACTTTTTTGATTGAATGCACAACGGAATTGAAATTGAGCTCATGTCTGAAGGTGATCGGTGTCACCCAGACGATATCTAAAGTCTCCGGAAATCAATTAACTCAAACTGTACCGAAAGTTTGTATTACCGTGTGTGTAATAAAAAAAAGAGAGTAAGACTAGAAATGGTCAAGTACCATACACCACAGTCCATATTATATATGAGTCGTCTATTATCAAAGGCGGCAATCTGTACATTTGGACAAAAATTTTTTATTGATATGTCAATACAGATTTATTTGAATATAATCGTCTCCTTCAAAGAATACGGTTCAAAACCTGCATTAAATAAAGGTTAATAGTTAACCTGTTATTTATCTAAGATGTCGTTCCGAAGAGTTTTGTGACTGCCAATGGAATACAAAGTCAATAATTCGTTTTTCTGATTTACCAATAATTGTCCAAAAGTCAGATTGCCGGCTTTGATAATAGTCGACTCATTTGTATGAAGTCGGAACAGCGCCTCTAGCGGCAAACTTAGGCAAACGCTACGTTACCTGCTTTAACTTTTACGCTGTCGAGAGCGTTATAAAACTCGCATTAAGCATTCAGGTCTATGCATGTCTCCAGCGACCTTGACGTAAAAGGATATCCTAGGTAGGGGCTTAATCTGGAACTGGTCCAAATTAAATAATTTTTAATTAATTATTCTCTATTGCACACACGTTTTAAATATATTATGTGAGTCGTCTATTATCAAAGGCGGCAATCTGTACATTTGGACAAAAATTTTTTATTGATATGTCAATACAGATTTATTTGAATATAATCGTCTCCTTCAAAGAATACGGTTCAAAACCTGCATTAAATAAAGGTTAATAGTTAACCTGTTATTTATCTAAGATGTCGTTCCGAAGAGTTTTGTGACTGCCAATGGAATACAAAGTCAATTCGTTTTTCTGATTTACCAATCATTGTCCAAAAGTCAGATTGCCGCCTTTGATAATAGACGACTCATATTATAGATGTACACATACTAGGACTATATTTATGGTTTAATATGTTTATTAATTTTATATTCTAGACAGCTTTCTGTATTAGGATGCAAGTCAGGGCCTTGTCGGTTTCTCGGTGACCTTACATATCATTATGACAGCACTGAAGAATTTTCATCTGGGAAACTGGGTCAACGTATTAAAAGCTTACCCATTATGAGATAAATGTCCAGCCTCTATTTCATAGTTGTTGCCTTATAGTCGTATAGTTGTAGCAGATCTTGGCTTATTCATGAATCTTGAATGAGAATGCGACACAAATAAAAATAATTAAAAAGAAGTAATATGGGATTTTAATTAAGATCTTTAAATGATAATTACTCAAAATTTATAATTAATTGCTCAAATTATCAAATAAAATCAAATTATTGTAATCATTTTTAACATTCATCCCAATACCAATCAACGCATGGTATCATATTTGCTTAGTCGATGTTATTGTTTAATATACTCGTACTATGGCTAGGTCATTTTAGCCACTAATGACTTGGCATATGGCTGCGTACAGTCAAAAAGTCAATTCAAAAAGTCGTCGTGGCTTAAAGGATAAGACGTCCGGTGCATTCGTATATAGCGATGCAACGGTATTCGAACCCTACGCGCGGGTACCAAATTTTCTAATGAAATACGTACTAACAAATGTTCACGATTGACTTCCACGGTGAAGGAATAACATCGTGTAATAAAAATCAAACCCGCAAAATTATAATTTGCGTAATTACTGGTGGTAGGACCTCTTGTGAGTCCGCACGGGTAGGTACCACCGCCCTGCCTATTTCTGCTGTGAAGCAGTGATGCGTTTCGGCTTGAAGGGTGGGGCAGCCGTTGTAACTATACAGAGACCTTAGAACTTATGTATCAAGGTGGGTGGCGCGTTTACGTTGCAGTTATCTATGGGCTCCAGTAACCACGTAACATCAGGTGTGCTTTGGGCATGTCCACCCATCTAAGCAATAAAAAAAAACAGCCCGAGCATTTTAAAGTTTGTGCAGCCCGAATCCCTATTGTAGCCCTACGGGGGCTGTCATAAATGCTTTTATCAACTTAATAAAGCTAATTGATAATTCCTTTTATTTTTATGAAACAGGCGGAACCATATCCCGAATGGAGTCTACTAACAATTACGTCGAATCAGTCGTTTGTCAAGAGAATGACCTCAAAGACAACGAGATGAAGGTTTTCGACATCGGCGAAGACGGGAAGGTGCTTGTAGTGAAACAAAAGGGAGAATTCTCCGCTATCGGAACGAAGTGTACGCATTATGGAGCCCCTCTCATCAACGGCGCGCTGGGGGACGGAAGACTGAGGTGTCCTTGGCACGGGGCCTGCTTCAATCTGAAGACCGGGGACATTGAAGATTTTCCTGGTTTTGATTCGCTGCCGTGCTATCAAGTTACCGTAACCGATAAAGGAGAAGTAAAGGTCAGAATTTATTCATGTTTTATTTTACAGATTTTTAACTACTCTAGTAACACAGTAGGTAGTATGGAAACTTTAATCTCGTGATGTCAATGCAACACTAGATGAACAGTGCCAACGATTTCCTAAATGAAACTAATGCTAAATAAAACGAATGCTCTTTCTTAATAATAATAATAACAAAACTAAGCTTATTTGGAAACTGGAGTCTTGATTGGGAGGTATTTGGGGTTCGTTCAGAGTGTATTTACAATTTACCCCTTTCTCACACCTGTTATCATAATATCATAATGACACCGATTTAAATTTATTTATCGTAATTACGTAATGCGAAGCCATATCCAGTACAAAACTGGGGTTGTAATATTTCTCATAAGCGTCCACTTAAATTCAGCGAGCGCTAATACAAGTACATCTCGATAACTCAAATAATAAAACAGCAGGATATACGTGTTGAACCCCGACACATTGACATTTAATAATAGTATGTAGTAGTTATTACATTTATTATTAGTATTATTATGTAGTAGTAATGAAAGGCGATTCGGTTTCAATTCTCGTTCGGAGCAAAACGAATTTTTCGGTTACCGAACAATTCCCATTGAGCATACTTCCATTATTTCCATTAAATAAAAGTCGGAGTAAAAATGGTGGTATTATTACGGGACATTAGATTTTCTTCCTCGCGGATACCAGGTTCTTCTGTCCTTCTATATATTTTTTTGTTAATCACTCCAGATCCTGTTGATATTTATTCACTTGAGTAAGCCGAGGTGTTATCCTGCACGAGCGACTAAAAGTTATTTTTGTACCCCCTTGGAAATTTAGTACTATTTCTCTAGAATCTAGAGTCTAGATCAGTGGTTCCCAAACTTCTTTGTCTACTGCCCACTTTGAGAAAAAATAATTTTTTGGCGCCCCCTTTTTTCACTTATAAACCACTATAGCGAGAGCTCAGTCAGTGTCTAAGAGTCCTCCTAGATGAAATTAAAAATCGCCTCCCAAGCCTCTACACAACGCCCCCATTTTTTTCTGGGTCTATTATCGCCCCCCATTAAGCCTGCAGCGCCCACAAGGGGGCGTTATCGCCCACTTTGAGAAAGGCTGGTCTAGATTATAGTTACCCTATGCCCTTCTCTGTGCCCGTACGTGTGGCAACGTGCACGAAACATTTCATGACATTCATTCAACTCGCATTTCTAATATGAGTGTTGGATGCACATATTCTACTACAAGGCTTGCTTTTTTGTCGTTTAGCTACGTGTAATTAGTAAATAAGATATTAATTGATAAACATACTATGGACGTGCGCAAATCAAAAGTACATACAAAAAAATACCAATCTGTTGAATTGGAACATTACACACATTATTTATATTATTTATTTATCGTAACATTAAAAAAGAAAGAAATGATATCGCATGCGTTGTGGTTAAATTGTTGCATTACAGACCAGAGAAGTTACGCCACACGCCACTATAAGTAACACAAAACGATACATTGAAAACAGTTTAATAATACTATTTATGTTTGTACTAAATGTCACGCTACTGCAGAACAAACTTATTATTATGTTAAAATGCGTTCTATTAAAAGAAAAGGAGAAACCGTACCGAATCGATTTTAACACAAGCAAAAGTTAGGATGCTGTCAGTCGCAACGTAAATTTTTCGCAAATTCCGTGACCAGGGTATGGAATTGCATAGGTATATAATTTGCATTTTGGTACGTGCGTCTCGTGAACGCTTTCTAAACTTTCTTTGGGTAAAATGGTACATACAGTTTTCTTCAACAAATATTTGGTAACTTGTGGAATAATTTGGAAAATTTGAAAAGTGAATTTTTCGTTTTTAGTAGTGGCAACGATAAAATTAGATACGTCAATGGCTACGGTAGACAGTCCACAGACAGAACTTAGCCTGAACTTTAACCTTTAAGGTTTCTGTGCCACCACACAATATATAAAAAAAAAAAACGAAAAATAAATTAAAAAAAGAAAGTCCCATTTTTTCAAATTCGTGTACGTTCTAGTCTGATTCAGCTGAGAATTTGCGTCTGGTTGGTCAGCTGGCTAATGTCTACGTTTCTTGGGTACCATAGGCTTTGACGGTTATGTAAGGTTAAGTCCGTGCCGAATTCCAGATGCACCGGGTACCCCTAAGCTCAAATGATGTTATATTGAAATTAGTTGCTACTGTTAAGGTTAAAGTTTATGTTTGAAGAACACTTATAGAGATCCTCAAACCTCTCTCATTTTTTTTTTATTGCTTAGATGTGTGGACGAGCTCACAGTCCACCTGGAGCCCATAGACATCTACAACGTAAATGCGCCACACACCTCGAGATATAAGTTCTAAGGTCTCAGTATAGTTAAGAATTAAAACACACGAAATATACCGTCGTTCACAGCGTACTCACTTAAATGACTACGCTTTAAATTCTTTCTAGGTTTTCAATACTAAACTGTGATCTATCAAACGATTAACCTAGATATTTGGACGTGTTTTTACTACAATTTAAATACATTATATGTAATCGTGTCTGAGTGATAGAAGGTTATTTGCGAAGGTCAAATGACTTGAATGAAGTTAGATTTCGGGTCAATAACTTAATGGGTTATTTTAATTAGGATACTATTATAGACTTACTAGCTGACCTGGCAGACTTCGTATTGCATCAATCGATAAATAAAAGACCTAAGCTTTTGTATAAAATAAACTTAAAACAAACAAAAGGAATCAGTCCGGCGGGGGACACATCAAAGGGAAAACAAAATTGTTATTTTTATTTAATTCCGAGCATTTTCTTAATTATCTACCTTTTAAACCTTCTCTGGACTTCCACGAATAATTCAATAGCAAAATTAGCCAAATCGGTCCAGCCGTTCTCGAGTTTTAACGAGACTAACGAACAGCAATTCATTTTTATATATATAGATATAAAGTTATTGTACATATTATTAACATATCCAAAAGCGGTAAATGATGTTGTTGAAAAGTTTTTCTTTGTTCAATGTGAACCCAAGGTTGTAGATCCTACCTTGATGTTCGTTCATCTATTTTTCACACTACATTAAGCGGTAAGGTCTATAGTATATTAAAAAAAAAATTATTTGATAGATGATAAACAACCTAATAAATACCAGATCAATTAACCGCGTAATAGAAAGATTCAAATGCATACAGGAATTTGACCCAAGCGAAGTGCTTACTGTATGGCATAACTATATATGTACCTGCAAGGGCCTTCATATATAATCAAATAATACTTAATGGTGCGTCTGAGGTGGATTTTTTTTCTAGGTTCTTTATTTAATATGTACATATTTGTCGTAGTTCGTGATAAGGATATATATTGATGTCGCTGATAACATGACTGCACTTTTAAATGTGTTGTTGTTGTTTTTTTTTTTTAAATCAGGAACAGAATATGACTGTCAAAATTATGTGCTGCTATTTAAATATTTTTTTGTTAAATGCTGCATCCCTATTCTGGATGTTTTCTGGTGGGTTAGGTTTTTTATTGTGTTAATAGTTCTATTGTAAGTTAAATACACTATAAGTATTACGTTTTGTGAACAGAGAGCGCCTTAATACAAAAATGTCGTTCGAAGGCGGAATAACAAGTGGTCGCCCTCTAACAGTAGATACCGCCAAGGGCACAATAATGCACGACTTAAAATGCCATTTTACAACATTAAACTGAACTAAAAACAGTTTTGACTGAGTAATAAATGAGGTTTATTCGGATATCGAATAAGAAAGATGATTTTTTTTAATTGCCTATACATGTGGACGAGCTCAGTAACGTTTGTGTAACAATTATAATAACTAGTGGTCGCCCGGTAGTCGAAATTCGACTATAATTAATTGAAATTAAAAGCTTGTACACTATTATGATTCTATTTTCAAAGACTATTATACTTGTATATAATCACAAATATCGCCAATACTACACTATAGAAAAATATTAATTAAGATAAACAATATTTAATCTATTCTCAATTTGACCACAGACGTCAAGAACAAAAGTTTGACAATAAATAAATGGTATGCATGCGTGTTGCGTCAAATACATGGTGGTGTGTGTAATGTTTTTTTTATTGATTTAATGTATTTATTAGGCATAATAAAAAAAAAAATTAGCATTCTGCACTCCTTCTCTATGTTCTCTATAAGTGTGGGAAATTTCATACTCCTCAGTCCGCGTAATTTTCGTAAAAAGGGATACAAAGTTTTTCCTTCACGTATTAATATATAGATATCTTTAGCAATGACATTGACGATTTTCTCTATACCAACCACCGATTATGAATTCGACCGTATACTGGTTTTTAACGGGGGTAGGAGTCTGCACGGGTAGGAACCACTTCCATGCCTTTTCTGCCGTGAAGCAGTAATGCGTTTCGGTTTGAAGGGCGGGGCAGCCGCTGTACTGTTAAAAGTGAGGCCTTACAGCTCATGTCTCAAGATTGGTGGCGGCATTTGCGTTGTAGACGTCTATGGGCTTCGGTAACCACTTAACACCAGGTGGGCAATAAGATTGTCTCCCTGAAGTAAAAAATAAGCAGATTATCTTTATCGAATTATCAATTATCTTTAGGAAACTATGTAACTAATAAAATATTTTTAAGGCATATTTTATTGATATCGGAAAAACTAAAAGTTTCCAAAGTCACGAAATGACTAATGCTAAATCTATGGTTACCTCATATTTCACGATGACTCGTAAAGGCAATGTTTTTATCGCCGTGTCTAATTCTTTGTAGATTTTAATGTTTAACTAGTAGGACAGGTAAGTTTTAAGGCGTGAATGTAATGCCGATGCGATAAACTAGCTGATAACAAAACTTGATGGTCAATTAAGTTCGTTGTTTGTTTAAATCATTAAGTTTATATCGGTAAAAAAAAACTTTCCGATCCTAGATTAAGCTATGTGATCGCAAAATTAATTTGATACATAACTAGATGTGCCCGACGGTTTTACCGGGAGATTTTTTGGCGGGTATAGAAGTAGACCGTTTATACTGTCTAAGCTCGCTCTAGGAAGTCTAGGAGCTATCAATTACATTAGGTTGCTTCATTTTATCACAAAAATATTACTGGATAATATGTCAATTTAACCCGCGATAAATTGCATCATTGCGCCATCAGCGCAAAAGTGGCCTTACCCACAATTTTTCATTGTGGTGCTTATTTATATATTGCAATTTATTTAAAACATAATAATTTTTTATGCAAAACCAGCGTTTGCCTAATTACACCCATAGATAACAAATGGCTTTTAAACATTATATTTGAATATCTAAAATTGAATTTATTTTATCGTCTTTCTCCCATCAATTCGTTTTTCTTTTCTTTTCGTGTTTGTTTTATCTTGCATAAAAATTTGTATATGTATACTTTTTTTTTGTTTTATATTTTTATATTCTAATATTTATTATAGATAAAGTTTCGTAAATTATTAATGAGAGTTAATGTAAGTGCGACCGCCAAAAAAAATTTAAATTTAAATTAGCCCATTGAATAAAAAAGGTTTCTCACCCCTGGTTTAGATTATTACAAAAAAATGCATAAGTATAGTATGTATAGTAAGTATAATATATTCAATGCATGTTCTGGCCTCGTGCAGTTTCAATTCGATCCACATTCGTTTCTTTTGACATTCAGTGAATTTGTTATTGTACATAGCGTTCTAAATATTCAAACGATAACATTTAACAAATATTTTTTCCCTCGAGATACTATTAGTTCGTTTTATGTGAAAAAAAAAAACGAATATATCAAAAAGAAGTTTTTTTTTTTTAATTAGAGAGTAATTACCATTATATTCATATGTGATCAATATACCTGTAAACTGTATAGCATTCAAAACATCGCAAATAATATCCTCCTTCGTGCGTCGTATTCCTTCCAACGCTGAGGATCGTGACCTTTACGGAGCACTTTTGTTAGGACTATGTTCCTCCATTCATTCCTGTCCTCCGAGTAGTGGATAGTAACAATGATGCTGGAGTCCAAAGTTTTTTTTAATTGCTTAAATGGGTGGACGAGCTCGCAGCCCACCTATTGTAAAATGGTTACTGGAGCCCATAGACATCTACAACGTAAATGCGCAACACCTTGAGATATACAGTCAAACCTGGGTAAGTGAGAACTGGATAAGTAAGAAAACTCTATAAGTGAGAGTAATAGTAAGGACCCGTCATTTTAAGCTCCCAAAACCTCTATTAGCGAGAAACAGACCTCTGTAAAAGAGAGTCGTTTTTTCCTCATGGACCTCCGTAAGTGAGACTGCTACCTATCTATACCTCTATAAGTGACAGCCAAGCTTTATTTATTTATTTATATTATTTAGGAGGAACAAATGACAAAACAAATTACAAATTTAACATCTGCTATTTTATGACTCATTTTTAACTTTCGTGGAACTTCTTATCACTGTTTTTGTATTGTTTTCTCGTGAATATTGAACCTATTTTATTTCGTGGAACTAAATAACGTTGTTATTTTATCGTATTCTTTTCGAATGGACACGTGTGCCTGTGTACCGTCCTGTTTGTCGGACTTACTCAGTTTATCGTTAATCAATTGCGAAGGAAAGTTCTATTCTGCATCATGTAAAAATGGAAAATTAAAGTACTATCATTAAAGTCATAAACTTAAAATAGTGAATGCATTTGAATGCGGAAAATCGCGAATCGAAATTCAGAGGGAGCATTAGCGAGAAACTCGGGTTAGTGAGAAACCTCTATAAGCGAGAATGAGATTGTGCTCCCCTGAACTCTCGCTTATCCAGGTTTGACTGTAGTTCTAGGGTCCCAGTATAGTCACAACGGCTGCCCCACCCTTCAAACCGAAACGCATTACTGCTTCACGGCAGAAATAGGCGGGGCGGTGGTACCTACCCGTGCAAACTCACAAGAGGTCCTACCACCAGTAATATAGGTAAACTAAAAAAAAAAACTTAAACTAACGCGTAGTTTAGTTTAAGTTTTTTTTGACAGTATTTATGAGAAAAATACTGGTGATACCAAATGATTCCGCATATTAACTCAATTTCGAATATTTTTGGAAATTGTACACTTTTAATTCGAAAAGATATGTGAAATTCAAAACCCAAAACCGGTTGTAATGTCTTGTGTAAATACACATATGTCTGCCAAAGTTAGAGAGCTCGCCAAGTCGCAAGGTGTCTCGATCGAGAGGTTGCTTGCAAAAACGTCTAGGTACCTATTTAATATTTATTAGTAGTTGAACATTTTTTGATAAATATTAAGCAGATGTTTGCTGGTTTATCAACATTCTTGATATCTGTTTAAATATTTTGTTTGTCTCAAATATGTATCCAAGTTTTTTTTCTTTTTAATATCATTCATTTCTTTCATCTTCTTCCAATAATAACTAATTCCACTTATTTAGAGTTTTTTTTTTCAGTTCAGAAAAATATACGCTTTTAAACACTAACAACTCGTTGTATTCAGGTCAGGTTTTTTGCGTGATGTTTTATAAACGTGCAGATAAAATACATAAAAATTTGTGAAACGCTCGATTTTTTTATTTGTGTCAAGGGCACCTAAACACTATGCGATGTAACTGTTTATTGTAGATATCTTTAGGTACCTAGTTTCAGACAGAAAAACACTTTACAGTCTGCACAAGATCATAGGTTCTTAAATTGATTTGAATCGTAGCAACTTCTCCGTAAATTTTTTTTGTAAACTTCCCTCTTGATTTATTTTCAGTAGCCGTCTCATCACTATTTAAAATTTTGTGCATGAACAATCTCATTTGTCCTCGCCTTCACCGAATTCGGAAGGGTGGACAAATGTTAAAGCCTATAATTCGATCTGTGCTGTTCTCACAAATGCCGATAATTATGAAAATAAGTTAAATTTTTACATTACGTTTACAGGTAAGAGCAAAGATAAGTGACCTCAAAACGAACAAGCGTATAAAGGATATGGGTGTGGTCTCTCCTTGTGAAGGTTCCGTTGTTGTTATAGTGGGCGGAGGACCGTCGGGCGCTACATGTGCTGAATCACTACGCAGCGAAGGATTTAAAGGTCGGATCACCGTTATCGCAAAAGAGCCGCATCTCCCTTACGATAGGATTAAAGTATCTAAAATCGGCACAGTCACCGATATAGAAAAACTGCAGGCGAGATCACAAAAATATTATGACGACGCCAATATTGAAATAATGAAAGGAGTGGAAGCAACCAAAATAGAACCTAACGACAAGCTTGTCCATTTAAACAACGGTAACAAGCTCCGATACAGCGCGCTGTATCTAGCGACCGGCTCCAAGCCTCGGGTACCTGATATACCCGGCATCGATTTGAAAAATATATTCACCGTGCGGAATTATGAAGACTCCATTAACATACTGACAACTTTAGGATCGAATCAAGACAAAGACGTTGTCGTCCTCGGTCTCAGTTTCATCGGCTTGGAGTCGGCCGCTTCATGCAATGAGAAAGCGAAGTCTATAACCGTAGTTGGTAAACAGAAGGCTCCGCTTGAGCAAATTTTCGGCCCAGAAATAGGACGAAGCCTACAAAAATTGTTCGAAGATAAGGGCGTAAAATTCCAGTTCGAGACCACGATAACAAAATGTAATGGCGAGGACGGTGTGATAAAGTCGGTCGAATTGACGAACGGGACCGTGCTGCCCGCCGATATGCTAATTTTGGGCGTCGGGACCACATTCAACACAGAATTCGTGAAAGATAGCGGTTTGAAACTGGAAGCGAACGGTGCGGTCTCGGTTAATGATAAGCTCGAAACAAATATTCAAAATATATACGCCGGAGGTGACATCGCTCATGCACCCGTTGCGGCCTACGATAATAAACAGATGACTATAGGCCACGTGGGATTGTCTCAGTACCACGGACGGGTCGCCGCTCTGAATATATTGAAGAAAGAGACGTCGCTCCAAACTGTACCATTCTTCTGGACAATGTTGTTCGGGAAGTCCATCCGGTACGCCGGCTGCGGTAGGGCCGCAAGCACGCTGATCGATGGAAACGTTGATGATTTAAAATTCGTCATCTTTTTCTTTGACGAAACAGACAAGGTAATCGCCATGGCTTCGTGCATGAGAGATCCCATTGTCGCGCAATTCGCAGAATTCCTACATCAAGGCAAGTCGCTGTACAAGAAAGACTTGAAAGATGATCGATTTGCTTGGACAAAGTCTATCAATTGAACGGCGAATCTCAAATGAAGTAACAGTATTATTGTCAGATAGGAGAAATAATACAGGGTGTGATTGACATCCGATTCAGATTTGTAAGTGTGCATGTATTCTGATTACATTAAACAACAAAAAATCCAAGTCAAAAGTAATTCAACTTAGCTTCATGGTCTATAATCAAATTCAAATAAATTGTTAATAAACTTTAAATATTTATGGTATTTTGATAGCATGTTTGCTATATATTTACAATTTTGTAGTAAAATGTATCTTAGAAACTAAATAAATGTTTACAAACAATGTTTACACCTGTATATGTAAAGCGTTATATACAATGTTAAATGCTATTTACATTATTTTACATAGAATTTAGGATAAAACCAAGTATTTATTTTTTGTTAAGTTTCTAAGATCTTAAAGTTACTGAAATAATGTTAAATGTTCTCCTTTTTGTTATTATTTCTCATATCGTCTAGGAAGTACAATTTTGTTTTGCTTTTAATTTATATGTAATTACACATAAGTATCTTTATAGACCTAGTGTTTGTGAAAATTTCACTAAATACTAACAAAATTGTCAATGAAAAAAATCATTATGATTAAAATATTGGCAAAGTTTTCACATTGATTTTACCAAAATGATGCCACGGAAGTTTTGATCATTTTTATGTTATTTAATAGTATTGTACATGCTGTGCAATGTTCTGTCATATTTGCACCATGACATCCAGTATGTGATGTCGCGTTTGCATTTACTGGGAACTCTCCCTTCCTTTAAGTTATTTCAGTCTTCACTTCCAAATTATGCCTGAGACCTGGGTTTCAATATTCCCAAAACACATGAAGGTTTCTAGACCCCTAAAATCGGAATGTCTTGACAATCGTTGAAACTTGCTTCTTAGGATTAACTGGGTAAACACCTGTTGAAACTATCCTTGACGTTCAGAAGAACATAGGGGAGAGGAGTGAATTCTTGAAAATTACAACTTAAATTATTATTATAATTTTAGAGAAGCAACTGTTAATAAAGACCTTGAATTGTATGGATTTATACTAAAAATACGAAAAAGATCGCCTGTATGTATTCACACAAATAACTTCTTAATTTTAATAATCACATGCAATACAGTTTTTATATGACTTGAGTCAGCCTATTTACCGATGGCCCCTTTTCTCACAATTGTTATGCTGAAAGCATTTATGTACTTGTACTTGCCTAATTTATGTATAGAAACCATTCACTTTATACCTTACAAGTAATTCGTATTGCTGTAATATGTAATATTCGGTACCTACATACATAGTATGATGTTAGTACTGTTTATTATTATGTAAAAATGTATTGTGAAAGACCAACTACTCTTTTTTTGTAACAAAATGAATTGTGTATAAGCACCTATGTGAACAGATATATTTATCAAGCATGTCTGTAAAAATAAAATGTTTGTGTGATAAAAAAGCATAATTTAAATAAGTACTTATTGTAAAATAAAATATATGCAGCATTTGCTATGTCGTTTACTTTTTCCTTGTTAGTTATTATTTTTATTGTTTTCGTCAAAAAATACATTTATAGTTCTACCAATTAATAGAGTTTAGAGAATGTTTAGAGAGTGTTATTTATGTTTTATAGTCCCTACTGACACTGAAAAAAGGATCTGGATGTTTCTTTCTGCTTGAATTGTACAGAAATATGTAGGTACCTAAAACATGCCCACATGCAACTACCTGAACTGAAGGAGTAAAAAAGGAAATGCAAAATAAGGAATAAACAAAAAAGTCTGGTAGTAGGATATATTGTGGTACCCAATTTTTACACCACTATCCTATTTACATCTACTAAAAAGGAATCATGTATTTCGGTTACAAAGATGGGATAGCTGTTTTACAATACAAATGAGATTTTTTTTATTGCTTAGATGGGTGGATGACCTCACAGCACACCTGGTGTTAAGTGGTTACTGGAGCCCATAAATATCTACAACGTAAATGCTCTACCCATTTTGAGATATAAGTTAGGTCTTAATATAGTTACAACGGCTGCCCCACCCTTCAAACCGAAACGCATTACTGCTTCATGGCAGAAATAGGCAGGGTAGTGGTGGCAAATAAAATTATACATTCTACTGAATAAATTTATTAAAACTAATTTATACTAAAATTACATTTCATTCAATAATTTACTCCCATTTTTCGCCGATTCTTAGGTGCTGTAATCGTTCATATAATGTTACATCTTGTTTAAATATTCTTCTATTCTTGTCATTGAGCATTTCTTTTCTCATTTCATGTTTTCCTAAAGCTTTTGTGTGTCCAAAACTTTCGGCCTGAAATTGGAAAGCAATAAGTACTTAAAAGCTTTCATTTTATTTTTATTTTTATTTCAATTTAATTTCCTTTTTTTGAATGTTTGTTGCCAGTTTAGTAGTTTTTTTATTTAGTTATTAAAATTAAATAAAAGTCAGCCTCTTATGACTTTTAACATAACTGACCTTATGAAATTCAATAGTGTTATTAATTAGTTCTATTTAACTTAGAAATTAATGTGTGTAGATTTTATACAATGCTCGCAATTATTGTGTTAAGTCTTACTGTTGAAAATTTTAAGAAGTGATTAATTTCAGGTCTTGGCTTACCTCGGACAAATAGGGGAAACGTAAATAAAGCATATTTTGTTCCTCAATGGCAAAATCTTCTTTAATACGACGTAAATGTTTTGGTTCAACTTGTTTTACTAGACGTTCTTTTCCTCTGAATATGTTGCCATTTGGCATACGATTCCGTCGTAATAAAACTAAAGTTAACTTCATTACTGATTACCTAATTTTTAAGAAATCACTTGTTCTATGAAAAAATTCGCTTCTGTATCAGAATCAGCAATTCAGCACATGCTTGGTGCCGAAATGTCACACTTTAGTCTTCTCATTCGTAAGACAGGCGAAGTGAGTTATGCCCATAATGCCTAGATTTTTTCCTTGCAGTTTTGTTTCAACGTTCAGGTTTTTAATTTCAAAATCAGTACTTTCTGACGTTGAGAAGTAAGGAAAAAACTATTTTATGTAGGCAGATAAGCATGCAGCTAACATTTATGTGGAAGGACAAGGAGCAAAGCTGTGTGAATTGCTATTTTAGTGTTCTTCAGGCTTAGACCTATTAAAATAGTTGTATATTAACTTTTTAGCAACAGTGAAAGAGCAAAAGTGTTGGTAAAAGTAAGTCGCTGGACGAAGCTTCTCGGTTTCTTCTAAAGTCCACTGAAGTGTAAGTAAATGACTATCATTTGACTGGAATGTCTTTTCATGTCATCTCGTATCAACCCAATAGATTATAATTTCAAGACAGTGAAATTCGAGTTTTTGGTTTTTTTTTTAAATATAACAAAGAAAAGATACTGCTCTGTTGAGACATTAAAAATCATAGGTTAAGAATATCGCAATAGTTTCGTTAATAGCTGCTTATTTCTTTCTGAATTGCTTGCTTTTTAATTTCTTCGTATTTTTGTCCAACGAGTATAGAGTGTTATTTTTTTCCACTATAATTGTTTGTCTATGACAGAATGGCTGTCGAGTCGATTGAGTACAGACAGCCTTATATTATTACTAAAAAATATTAAAGTGAAAATCAATTATTTTAATGTATCGAAGTCAGTATTAGTATAAGTTCGTGTAATTTAAGCATGGAAATACGGGTCTTTTGTTAGCAAAACTGAGGCGGTATACAGCAACGGTAAGTATTGTTGTATACTATTGTATCAAACTATAATTGAGAAGCTACTTTGTATAAACCTTTTTTGCGATTGTTGCTCCAATCATTTAATAACCGTTACAGATTGATAATTTGCCACGATTCTGCAGTCATAGATATTTAGCGGAAAGCTTTGCCACACAATAAATGTTACATTTCGGCACCCTTTCACTTTATTCTGTACATTATTTTCGTGCTCTACTTACCGCGAACTCACTTTTTATCTGAATCTAGTACTTGAAATTTACTTCCCATTTTAATTATTTTTATCTAGTTTTTACATCTAAGGCTATGAATTAAGTTCTGAAAAATAAAAGAAGGAACGCCATAAATAATTTTCTTAAATAAACAAAATTTATTGTGTACCTATTATTCCTCATATTTATGAATAATATGCTGTGCACATCGTTGTAATAAAAATATAGTAACTATTTGAATAAAAAATCTATAAAAGAATGTTTTCAATTATTTTACAATCATTTCTAAACACAAAAAAAACATTGACAACTTTTATTATTCTGTTAGCATTTAAGTTTTTATTCATGACACTTTCTTTCAGTAGTGATCATGAATACCAATAACAGATTGCAAAAAGTTTCACATTTTCAAATAATTATTTAGAGAAATGTTTCTTGCTCTACTTTTGTTGCTATAAATTATAAATCATTTTTTATTTTATTTTTCAACTTAAGATCTAAAGTTTTTATCTAATTGATCTTATCCATAAGTCATTTAAATTTATTAGATATGAATACTAAGAGTCAAATGAAGAAACATTTCCTGTCAGTTTAATTGTATTTAAGTTATTGTTTTATGTATGTTTATCTATATGTATTTTTCATTTTATATTAGATTTTTTTTAAAGCTTAGTTTAAAAATCATGCTTTAATACCTTTTATATTGTACACTATTCCCCTCTTATACATCGTATTTCTCTCTGTTAATGGTTTGCTGGAAGAAAACTCATGAATGAGTTAAGCTCGCCTTTGTATATAGTATTTAGACATTCTTTAAATCTGTTTTTATTGTATTTTCTTTTTGTGTACAATAAGTATAAATAAAAATAAATAATACTAAAAGATGCTTTTTGGTTTTAAAAGCATTTATAATTTTTTTTTAATTATTTATTATCTACCTTAAAATAACTTCTCTGAATTTTATTGTGAAAGACTAGCGACCCGCCCTCGCTTCGCTTCGGAAACATTAAAACACACATGAAACCAAAAAAATAAAATATTTTTTTTTTTTAAAAAGTAGCCTATGTTCATCAGGGACAATGTCGGCTTCTAATGGAAGAAGAATTTTTCAAATCGGTCCAGTAGTTTCGGAGCCTATTCGAAACAAACAAACAAACAAATCATTCCTCTTTATAATATTATAGTATATTATAGTATAGATAAATCATGGAATATTTGGGATTTGTTTCTGAGAAGGATATTTAGGAATGTTGAAACATATGAATGTTAGAAATGCTAACACTTCTTCAGAGTGAAATATCATAATAAATCCACAATGCTATTAAAACATTGTTGATCAAGAGTTACTCTAAAATAATAGATAGATAGAATGGCATAGACAGAAAGATATAGACAGTTTTCAGTTATATACCATTAATCAAAATAGGTATTTGTGTCCGAAATGTCTCAGGTCATCATTTTATTTCCAAAGTTGTGTTAATAATGATGATAAATTAATAAAAATTATAAATTTTAGATATATGAACATACCAGATAACTGTCATGGCTTAATGGATAAGAGTGTGACTGAGCCTACACCGGTAGGTATTACCACTCTACCTATTTCTGCTGCGAAGCAGTAATGGGTTTCGATCAATAAAAATAATTGTTATTGTTAAAATAAATAAACAAATTTCTCCATTATCAAATGTTCATCCATTTTAATAGTAACTAGTGGTCCACCCATAGTCAAAATTCAACTATAATTAATTGAACTTATAAGTTTCAACATTATTATGATTCTATTGTCAAAGACTGCTATACTTCTATAATTACAGATTTTGCCAAGACTAAACAAAAACAAAGTTTGACATTAAACAAAGAGTATATGTTTTATCAATTACATGGTGTGTTTGTGTTTTTTTTTATTGCTTAGATAGGTGGATGAGCTTATGGGTCACCTGGTGTTTACCGGAGCCCATAGACATCTACAACGTAAATGCCGCTACCTAACTTGAAATATGACGTATTACTGCACCACGGCAGAAATAGGCAAGGTGTAGTACCTATCTGTGTGGTTTCACAAGACATCCTATCATCAGCAAAGTGATTCTGTTTCTGCAGTCTTAAGTAAGTGCATGTGGTAAAACTTGGCGATTCAGATATTTATTAAAACTTGTTTCTCTTCATAATTAAATATCATGTAAATCAATGAACAACAACAACATAAATTAATTTAATTGTGGTTTCTAAATTGAATACATATCGCGGTCAATTTTAAGCAATTTAAGCCTTATAATTTGTTAAGTCCTTGAGTTAATTTCCTGTTTGTACAGTCTCAAATGTGTTTATAATTGTTATCATCAAAATTGTTCCCATTTTTAGTATAAGCATAAAAAATATGTCACAACATTTTTTTTTTTTCAATCAATAAAAGATTTGTTGTTATACTTAGAATTCAAGTTATTGTGGTTGTTACTTATTTCTGAAAAGAAATACATTCTTTGAATAAACCTAAATTTCCTATTGATTTTAACTAATTAATTCAAGGTTCCCATCACCCGGTGCTCAGGTTCGTCAGCCTACCTTGTGGTGTCGCCGCCATATTGAAACATTCCATAAGAATCATAAAAACAGGTCAAACAAACATATAGTACACAAAGGACATGTCAATTGTAAGGCTGGTAAAATAAATAGCACACTTCGCGAATTTGTTTGCTACTATCTAAACAGATATTTATTTTGCATATTCACGAACCACTTAGAAATAGCATAATATACAAATTTGATCATTTTTTATAAATAGCCTTTGACCTGTTTCTGATCGTATGTAGATAGTGATGAATGCAACCGTTATAAAAACAACTGCGAATCGATATTTGGAATTAATTTAGATTTCGACATTATATACAATCTTGATAACACCCGTGAGTTCGTTTTTCCAAAAAAATCAATATTATCGAACATAATGATAATAAGAGCTAAAAATCTTGTTTCAGAGTTCCCAAGACGTAACTGATAACCAATTCTCGACCTGAATATCGCTAAGTGTACAAAATGGCGCAGGTGGGAGCTAACATGGAATATCAGGAGTACAAATGGGCATACTCAATCATGGACTCTTCCAAGTAAGTTATTCATATTAAACTGCATCCAATTTGTTGACGTGCTTGTAAATCGAATGTACTGAAAGAGATCACGTCGCTTATAGGCGCCGGCCAGTGTGAAACGCAATCGAGCCGATGCGTATCGTAAAAAAAAAATCATACACTTTGAACAGGATTTTCATGAAACACAAATGAAGTACATCTCCGACCCAGACGACGTGGAAATACAAAGCCGATGTCGCCCTAAATTCCGATTTCCGAAAAAGCCGATTTCGTCGAATCCTGTAGAAGAGCTCGACGTTGCAACCTTATAGACACATCCATTGAGTTTCTTGCCGTATCTTGTCAGTGGATTACGAGTCGAACAGCGAAACACTGGTCTTGCTAGGGCAAGTATTAAGCAGTCCTTACCAAACCGCGCGTAGCTGGAATAAACCCTATACTACCTAGCAGTCTATAGGAAAAAAATATGATAACCGCGTTATCGTTGCCGCCGCTGACCACTCTCCGAATCCTAATCACGCAGGAGCCAGTCACCGTCGATGCCCTAGACACCTCTTTACGGATCCATCAGATCCAATAACCTTTGCATTAGACGCCTTCAGCTCTAGCACTAGGAGCAGCCTTAGGGACCCCGGTAACCATACTCGTCGAACTCGACAAACAGTTCGACGTGCAACCTAACCTATGCATCAGCTCGCAGAGTTTCTCGCCGGATCTTCTCAGCGGGTCGCGGTTCCAATCCGGTAGTAGATTCATTCGCGAAGCAACCCCTCTTGATTTGCGCTCGAGCAGCTGTTAGCAAATCCCACCCCTCCTGGCTGAGCCTTTTCTCGCCTACCTGTCGTGGTGAAACTGGAAAGGCCTCAGGGCTACCAGTAGTCTTTCAATCATAAAAAAAGGATAAAAATCAACGAAGATTGATGGTTGTAGATTAGGCCAAAAATACGTTTTCAGTTTGTCTTTTCGATACACAACGAACATGGTTGTTAAAATTATTTGTGATTATGAGTAACGTCAGAACACACTCGACATTGTGAAAATAGTATTAACAATAACCACTTATCGAATTAAGTAATTTTTGTTTACTAATTCGTCACTTAACTATACCGGAAATTTCATATTAGGGACACTGAACTAGTCGAAATGGTAGAAGGAAATGCGAAGTATTCTTTTATCCTCAATTAAGCATTTTGAAGGAGGTTTTTTTCTAATATTTATAACCATGTAATTGCGGAATATTTTATGACGTAGTTTTTTCACGACTCTACTCTCGTTAAATTTTTATCGAAGCTTAGATTAAACAGAGCTTGTGACCCAAGAGTGTCATGCGCAAGGTCAATTCTTGATACGCCTAAAATTGATGTTTAAATTGTTTTCTCAAAGTCTCGGAACATTTAAGCTAAAATAAAATTCAATCTGTTCGTCTGTGACGTGCTATAAAGGAATACTTCAAATGTATAAATCTCGTTTTGTGAAATATTGTAATAATAGTAATATCTTAATATGTATAAATATAATTATGTGTAACGTTGTTTGTCCGCGATGGACACCTCAACTACTGAACCGATTTTAACTTCTTTTTTTAAATACCTACGTGTTTTGTTCCAACTTAGGCCATAGGATGGTTTTTATTTCGATTAATGTTCGCAATATTTATTAATTAACAATAAAATGATTTCCTATGTTGATTATTGTTATTAATTGTAAGTTTCATAAGTCTAAAACAGATGGCGCTGTGTTAAAAATAGCACCGTTTCACATAGGCTACAATTTAATGGCATAGACACCACGTGTTGCTGAGGCTTAAAGTATAAGTGAAGTTTATTTCGTAGTAAACGCAATACAGTGAAATCCAATTGTTCTTACTTTGTTAATTTATGGTATTAGCATAGCCGGCTGCGTGTTGTTTAGAAACAAAAACCTTAGCCACAGCAACGTGTGGCCGGGTCTGCTAGTTATTATTATGTACATCATTCGCGTACGCATCAGTCATCATAAATGACAGCTTTCCTCGTTAAGTTAAACAAAATCGAACAGACTTCGTTTGTTTGTAAAATGTTCATCGTTCAAACCATATCTATCGTCGCCGCGTCGGTTGGAGTTGGTTTTATTATAATTTCCAGTGGTCTAACGATAATTATCAGAAATCTATATATTAATACGTGAAGCAAAAACTTTGTATCCCTTTTTACGTAAATTGCGCGGACAGAGGAGCATGAAATTTCTCACTCTTATAGAGAATATAGAGAAGAGAGAGAGAGAGAGAGAGTATTCTTTATTGTACACCAAAAAACAAATAAATAGTGCGATACATTAAACACAAAAAAGCACAATTGAGAAGGTGTGCAGAATGTTAATATTTTCTTAAATTATGCATAAAAAATACATTAAATTAATAAAAAAAAACATTACACAAACTACCATGTATTTGACACACACACACGCATGCATAATATTTGTTTATTGTCAAATTTTTGTTACTAGAGGTCCCGCAGTAGTCGAAATTCGACTATAATTAATTGGAATTGTACCTATAATAAGTTTGTACACTATTATGATTGTATTTTATACTTCTATAATCTCAAATTTCGCCAAGGCTACACTATAAAAAAATATTAAAGACAAACAATATGTAATCTATTCTCAATTTGACCACAGACGTCAAGAACAAAAGTTTGACAATAAATAGTATGCATGCGTGTGTGCGTCAAATACATGGTATGTAGTGTGTGTAATGTTTTCTTTATTGATTTAATGTATCTTTTATGCATTATTTTAAAAAAATATTAGCATTGTGCACTTCTCTATATTCTCTATAAGTGTGGAAAATTTCATACTCCTCCGACCGCGCAATTTTCGTAAAAAGGGATACAAAGTTTTTGCTTCACGTATTAATATATTATTATTTAAAACCCTGTGGTCAAATTGACAATAGATTAATATTGTTTGTCTATAATGTTATTTGTCTAAAGTGTAATCTTGGTGAAATCTGTGATTATACTCGTGGAAGTATCGTCTTTGACACTAGAATCATGATAGTGTACAAACTTATAATTTCAATTAATTATAGTCGAATTTCGACTACCGGGGATCACTAGTGAAATATAAAACTTGCTGACGTTGTAGACTTGTTGATGTCACGCGGTTATCGGAGGCGCACGAATGTCAGTCCTCGCATTAAAATGACAGATCAAAGTCTCGATCTTATCTGGTTTTCAGTGGTTACCTGAATGAACCCATAGAGGTTGTAATACGTGAACAACGTCACGTCGTCACGTTGTACACGAGATCGAGAACTTATTTTTCTTTTATTTATAACCACCTTAATATCTTTAAAACTGGAACGCATTTTTTTTTTTTATTGCTTAGATGGGTGGACGAGCTCACAGCCCACCTGGTGTTAAGTGGTTACTGGAGCCCATAGACATCCACAACGTAGATGCGCCACCCACCTTGAGATACAAGTTCTAAGGTCTCATGTATAGTTACAACGGCTGCCCCACCCTTCAAACCGAAACGCATTACTGCTTCACGGCAGAAATAGGCAAGGTGGTGGTACCCATCCGCGCGGACTCACAAGAGGTCCTACCACCAGTAATTACGCAAATTATAATTTTTGCGGGTTTCATTTTTATTACACGATGTTATTCCTTCACCGTGGAAGTCAATCGTGAACATTTGTTGAGTATTTCATTAGAAAAATTGGTACCCGCCTGCGGGATTCGAACACCGGTGCATCGCTTCAACACGAATGCACCGGACGTCTTATCCGTTAGGCCACGACGACGCATGACAACTTCGCGGTAGAAATAGGCGGGGTTGTAGTGTACGAATCCGTGCTGCCTTACATTACGCCCCACTAACGGGTAGGCCTTTTTGCCGAGATTTACCAAAAGTATGTTCACATAAAACTTTACAATGTTTTTTCCCCTTTTCGAATTGCATTAAAGAAATAAACGTTATCCAACATAGTGATACCACTCCGTGTGACATCGGAATACAAAACTCGAACAGTACTCGAGACGAGTTATAAGTACGGAAACCGCTACTGGTGTAGATAAACTGGAAAATAAGATGACGGTAGCTTGAATTAGGGACGAGGCTCATGATGGTGATTTCTCTGATAAATAGTCGAACGGAATCTTTCATAGTTCATCTGGTCCCAAAGGCTATTTCTAGGGATGGCACAAGCACAATATTAGGTACGATTACTTTTATCTCTGTCAAATATTTGTTTTGTAACTGATACTTTCTGTAGTGGACTCCAACGTTCTTTTTATGTTTAATAGTTCCTCTCCGTACAAGACGGTTGCAAGCAACAGTTCCATATAATAAGGTCAACAATTGTAACATTTTTTTACTGTTATTTTAATGTTGACGGTTCATGTTTTTATCTATGGTTTCAAATAATGAGTTTTCTATCTACCTTCTCTATGTTATTGTTACTAAAACTGTTGATTTTTTAAGTAAATACATAGAAATACAAAAAACGCGGCAATACTAGAGATAAAAATATTTTTATGATGATAACAATAATAAGTAATAACAAATGTAGTTTAAAACTAAAAAGACACCTTTAGATAGCAAATCGAACTGATTATTAATTTAATCGAAGCACTGCTCTTGCTAGGCCCAACGTTAGCAACACTCCCGGTTAGAGCCCCGTGAGCTCACCTACACGTCAAGGAGAAGCCTCTCAAGGCTATCAGCATAGGTAGGAAAAAAAAAAACCAGTGTTAGCAAATTTTCTCAAATTGAGCCCGTGAGGTCACCTATCGGTTCACGCATAGTTGGAATAGCCCCTTAGGATACCAATGATTAGGTAGGCAAAAAAGATGCAGCTGCAAATTTTCAAGTTAATCAGACTTCTTGAAGTCTTTTTGGTAGGACCTCTTGTGAGTCCGCGCGGGTAGGTACCACCGCCCTGCCTATTTCTGCCGTGAAGCAGTAATGCGTTTCGGTTTGAAGGGTGGGGCAGCCGTTGTAACTATACATACTGAGACCTTATAACTTATCCC